CCTATTCCCCAGCCCGCTCTACTCAGGCGAGAGCATACAACAACGGGAGCCGAAATACACATTTCATTGTCCACCACAGCACATCTTTGCGAAATAGTGTATGATTCAATAAATCACGAAGGTTATACTGATTACTCTATATTCATGACCAATAAAGTAGTGGGCGCAATTTTACGAAGGCCAATCCTGATCGGTTGATTTCCAAACCCACCTCGAACACCACATCACCAATAAGGGATAATGCATCGCTTATCTATCTACATATCACCCCTTTAGAAAAGACGTGTTGATTGAGGTCGAAATGGAACAGCATCGTTTATTTTCTGTACTGTGTGACCGACTTTGAGGGAGTGGTCTGTTGTTTCCTGGAAGCTCTGAAGATCCCCATCAAAGCATGAGGTGTTTCAAGCTTGATAACCACTTGGTGTTTTTGAGACGTCAAAGTTTGGAGTCGACTTGTGGTGATGAAGCACGTGAATCAGGTCTCTTTTGTCGGAAGACGAGTGTAGCGCCACCTGGGGACGTGGAGTCCGAACACTGATGACTGTTTGGCTGGCAGGTACTGATTGGGAAAGGCGTCTGTGACTACTCGTCAACGATGACCGCTGTGTTGTCTGCATATCACTTAGGAAGCCTAAGAACTTCACCTTCATTAATCTTTAGAGTAGACAGTCGTGGATGGTGTTCATCCAGTTGAAAGATAAAGCTGTTATTAGAACCTCTTCACTGACAGCTGAATATGCAGGCCTCTGGCGCGCATCATTCATTCGCAGAATATGCCCAAACTACAGAGTCTTTTGTTGCTGCAGGAAACAATATGAGTAAATAACTATTTATTTCACCAAATCATCAAACACGGTTATCTTTCAGTGTACAGGCTTTCTGATATTGTTCTCTGAATGTCTTTAAGTCATTAAATAGTTCTGTAGCCGTATATTTTGAATGGTCCAACACGAGGTAATCGACAACCTATTATGAACAAGAAAAGAGATAAATGAAAAAGGATGTTGACATACAGAGAGGTTTGCTCGAAGAAGACATAAATCTTCGCTCCGTGGATGTGTGTGTGCATGTATACATCGATTAGGTTGGATGATGGTGATTTCGGACTAAATAGATTGTCTACACTTTACACCGCATTGATATTAGTAAGCATCCAAGTCACTTGGAAATCCACTTATGATTCCTTCCCATGAGGAAATCGCTATTCGGTTGGCATGGCTTGACAAAACAAACTTCACAGTCAAACACTCATTAGCCGAGGGAATAATTCATTGTAAGTGTAGGCAGCCTAGTCTGTGAATGTCGGTTGTTTTGACCGGAGAATACGACACACCTACTAGCTTCTTCACTATACCTACGATTAATTTGCTTAAGATTCGATACGGTAGGAACTGATCAATTACAAATATTGCTGAAGGTATTTTCATTCCATTTCTCAAAATAACTACCAAGTCATCGAACCAGGTGGTGACGTTGCGATGCAAACGCTTTCTACTTAGCAACATGGAAGACTGAACTCAAGATAATAGTCTGATGGTAAGCGATATATTCATTAGTCAACATTAACAGGCTAAGTAGTGATTCAGTGAGTGTAAGGTAGAGCAAATTGTTCATCTCTTTGCTAAGTGTGGATTACTGAGTACCTGATTTCTAGTGGACACTCACTGATACTGATCTACAGAAATGTGATTTCCGAATACCAGGTAATCATCATGAAAACAGCTTCATGAAAGTGCATCTCCTACTGTTCCTGTGAGCAGTTTACACTCATCAGTCGTTTTGCAGATGACAGTCAGTCTACAAACATAGAAAAAGCACTAACTGCTTTAATGATGAGAAAGAACGATGCACCAAGATAAATTGATATGTTCGAAATAATCGCTTGAGTAGAAAACATGTCTTCAAATGAAGCAAAGATCAAATGTAGTTGGACACAATTTGGTTTCAGATAGCAACTGTAACTACTAAATAATCAAATACATCGGTTTGTCAAAAGTGAAGTCACATTGAATTGCTTACTTGAGTTCCATTAATTCTGCTAAATAGTGGATTAAATTTCTCCGATTAGTCACGTCACGAGTATCAGCCAGTCGGACTAGATTTCTTACTTCAAAGCCAAGGAGCGGTTTCCGTCTCATCGATGCTTGGCATGTATGGATACCCGAGGGATTCGAATGTCGTAATTGACTGTAGTCTGCAGTCGAACACTGTCCAGCAGCATTTAGGGCATTGATCAAGGCTAACGCACAGGACAGAAGTTGACAAAGCGAGTTCGAATGTCGAATCTCAGAAAGACACAAACATCCAGCATGAAGTGCCTGTTTGACTTGGTCAGCTTGTTTATCGTAATGAAGAAGCATACGTAAAGCGTGTAGATGTGCAGGCAGTCTATGACGAAGTTGGGAGATGAGGCAGCACAGTTTATCTGACTCGACGAGATTCTGGAATACAGGAAATTACAAATGTAAATTCTTCGAGTGTGTGACGGGTGCACAAGTATGAATTGTGAATACTCTTGTCTATCAGTCAGTAGAAAGACATGTGAACTAGGTGTGAATATGAATATTTCATTAAGAGCGATTGAATAACACTATCACTGTTCATGTCAGCGTTGCTAAAATTTCCGCCACTGATGGAGTATTCATGGACGCAAACCTACAAAAGCCTATTAAATTTTGTAGGCCAAGTTTCAGGTCATTTCCTTAAATCAGCAGATTGTTGATGAGCAGTAAAAGACGCGAAATCTAAGTTGACTGGATCTCCAAGACTTCAATATGAATTCGAATACGACGACTCAGGATCCAGCCACGTCCTCACTCGCTGGGCTACTAGCCACACCTTATGTGTGAGTGCTTATCACGGCACCCACCTATCCAATTCAAAGCAGGTGAAGTGGCTTCTAAATCTGTGACGAGTAGGTTGAACGACCTATCAGGTAATTAAAATGAAGTTTGAAAATGCAGTGTGCAAGTAACAGACTGGGTGACCTTCGCGTCGCTCTAGTATAACGGAATACTGATGATGGTTTGCAATTCAGTGCACTCTTTTCATCAGTGTGGTTATCATGGACGTCTTCTAAACCAAGTAAATCCGTAGTGACCGAAGCTTTCTCTTCAACTTCACTCCTTATGACATGATTGTAACTTCAGTTAATCAGAATGCGCCTGTCTATGAGATTCCCGAAAGGCATCTATCTTCATATACATATTCAATTCTTACCGAAACATCGACTGGACAGTCTGACAAATTCAGTATGACGTCCATTTGAGGCATACTGTTGATAAGTGTGTCTAATAAGTGTTCGGGAAACAGTTGACGTGAACTTGAACTTGTCGAAATTTGCGTCCTATGCTGAACGATTCCTTTGTTCGAGCCTTCTGAGTGTGGTTTATTGCGACTGAGTGAGACAGTGGTTTTCAATTCTATAATTGCCTGAGCCACGCTTTCGGGATCTAAATGTGCTGATGCCATGCATATCGCAACTGACTGAGCTGCTTTAGCTGGTAGTAGGTTTAACGTCTGTTTTCGGGCGGCAAATCGCAGAGACGCAGAACGCATTGATTTCCCTATCGGTGAATTTGGTGATAACCCGTCTGATAATCGTAGGTTTGGAGTGGACTTTGAGCTCGGTGTGCTGAATAGAGAGGACGAATTACTCCCACATTCAGCTTCTGATTTATCTGTAACCTGGAAAGTGGTTAACCAAAGTAAAGGGAAAACATTATGTTTGTTATGACATGTAGGATAAAGAAGCTTTGGGCATAAAAGTTATACAGCTGCTATCCCACCTGAGGCCTGTTCACTCTACGCAAATCATCGCATGAACACTAGACAGTGAAGACCACTTGTGTGTGTTTCCATGCACGCATGTGCTCAAATCTCAGAAAGTTGACCTGAACTTTTCTGAGGCTGTACAAAACATACATACGTGAAGTGCACTATATCACTGCTAGCCCGTTACTTTGGAGGGATGTTGTTCTTCTGAACAGGATCGAAAGATGAATGACAGAAGTTGTGACGGGTCTCCAGAACAAATCGCATGATGAAAGGTTGAGGAGTTAGTCGTTTTCACATTTAGGTGCCATCGGATTAAGGGTGACTTAATTACTGCCTACAAGATTACGAATGACCCGAATCACCCAAACAAAGTTATCATACCATTAAGACATATCGGGTTTCCTTGTGGGAACCAATGAAGGATAGCGCGTCAGAGAGAAGAAACTTGATTGCACCCTCGTTTCTTTTCTCTTGAAATTTGCCGTCCCTGGAACTCTTTGCCAGCAGCTGTGGCTACTGCATCTTCCGTGGAAAGCTTCAAGTGGAGGTTGGATAATGATGCGATAACACAATATCTGTGTTTGAATGGACTATTGCCTTAAAAACCACACAAAATGCTCTGTTAATGGATATATATCTAAAGTCGTCTTTCACTACTGCCTATTTACTCTTGTCTCATCTTCCTGGCTACCCTACTTAACCATTTATATATTTTGTTATTGTGATTTGAAGTATCCATTCATTTAATCTTTTCTATTGTCAAATTTCATCACCTTTCTATTTGTAAGATTTTCTTTTTAGTTCCACATAGGCTAAACTGATTTATGCATATTATTATCAGTATATAACACCAATGTAATTAAAATACCTCATGTCGATTTGAGTGCATTTTTAATGGATTTAGTGATCATCTCTATTTGCTGCTGCCTCAGCACCGCCAGCAGCAGTGCTGTTAGGAGACCCTCTACACTGCAAACTTCCCGCGGCCGGTTTCCTTTCGACTCTTCTGGAATTTATCCAAAGCAGTCCGTTTGTCTTATACTTGCTGACAAATGAGTTATTGACAATATTGGTAGTCTGAGCGGCATCAGTTGACTTATTTTAATTGGAGTATTGAAGCACACATGCTTCTTATAGAGTGTTTACAACAGAAATGAAGCCTTCTGTTCACATTAAAAACTCTCCATGCTCTTCCCATAGAAAAGTTCAGCATTTGGAACCTTGAAATCAAGCGGCAAATTGAGATTAAAAGGTACCCTGGTATGGTTCATTTTTATAATGATGTGATTGCCTTAGTGAAAAGAAACAACTTGAATTACCAAGTTAATCTGTCGCTAATGTTGAATCACAGCAGCCATCTTTATTTGTAGTTGTAGTGGAGTGGACTTCAATAGAAATGCGTCACAAAAGTAGCGGTTAATGACGAAATTTCACGAAATATGTGAAGCAATAACAGTGACATAAACTTGCGTGTTTTTGCATGCTTTTTAAACAGTCCACCTGATTTGCCTAATTGTTAAATGATTACCTTGCAAGCAAAGCTACCCACTTGTCGCAGTCCTTAACTGTTCAGGTTATAAAAACAAGAGCAGTTGGTGTAAACAGCACAGTTAGAGGCTCAAGTGCGCTGTAGATGAAAAGTGAGAAGTCTAACAAGTGAAGTGCTTGTGGAACTATATGTTCAGGTTTTGCAAATGACGTGTTCATTGTAAATTTGGTAGTTTTCTTCCACACTTGGTTGAAATAATTGGACATTTGCTGGTGCTGATGTATAAAAGCTGCAATCTATAACTGTTGTATCAAATAAAAGTAATCTGTGCTTAAATAACACAACCATGGTCCGAATTCTGTTCTTATGCTGTGGACGAGTATTTGTACTATCTCATCAAAGAAAGTTGTTGCTGCAATATATCACAATCGATGGAGTCGATTATAAGGATTAGTAATAGCAGTGGGTAATGTGTGGAGTGCATCCATTATTTGTAATGTCCTAGTTAACATTGAAGAGTGGAAGTTCAGGCTCGGTTCCCATTATTGACGTGGTCATTAATCCTTGACTAGTTTCCTGTTTCAGTTTAGAGCAAAACTAGGATTATTTATAGCATTATCAACATGAATTGTTACTGATTTGTCGTTACGAGGTATTCACCTTGTCGCTGATTTTAGTTGCTATCTTAAGGTCGGGTTCTGATTATTAACTAACCAATTTTCTTTATCCCAACTCCAAAAACTAACCGTAATTGTACCTGACAATTCTATTGCTCAAATTCATATCTCACCTCTAGTCTTTATGTTGACTCTTAGTTCCGTGGGTGTGAATTCTTTCGCTTCAGTATGATAATTTCTAAATCTTTTGAAGTATACTTCGATGCATGGAAATGTCCATTGTTAATATTTTCTTGACTGACTGATTCCAACATAGAAATTTGCAACAATGTGCAGCAGTTTGAGTTGCTACACTTAACATACAAAGCAAGAGAAGAAAGAAGAAATGCATAATAGAGACAGTAGACAGGGATATGGCGCAAAAGGAATAGTAATAGCGAAGAGCAATATAGTTTCATTGGAAATTCACAAGGAGTAGATGCATCTGCACCATTGAGAACGGTTTTGAGCCATATCACCAGTTGCCTCCAGCCTTCATTGGATTTTACCGTCCCGAGGACTCCAATGAGGAAGCAAGTCTACATCTTCCTACGTGGCTTAAACTAACTGTTGTGGATTTGATTGACTGATGCCATGTTTTGGTTTGACCACCACTGGCTCTTTTCCAACCTGACCCTATGTCAGCTAATGTTGTCTAGCGAGGAAAGCAGTAGCTAGACATACGTATCACATGTCGTAACCATCTCAGTCGATGTGGCTTCACAGTCTCGTCGATTGATTTTCCCTCCCTCCTTACCTAGCACTCGACGGATGCCTAACCTCAATATTGCTCACCCTATCATACCACTTCACAAAGGGGATAGAACGCAGGCACCTATGATCAAAGACAGCTAGTCAACCTTTCCATGTCTTCCACTTTCAGTGGCCATGTCTTACAGCCATAAAGGAGGACCGAGCGGACTGCTGAGGTGTACACACAACCTTTGGTTGACAGCCAGCCGGATATCACGTCTACTAAACCAGAGACTGCGTAAACTGGCATATGCGATACGAGTCTTCTGTATCCGTTCAGCGATCAACCCACTGACGTTGGCTGGGCTGATGCAACTTCCCAAATAAGTGAAGTGGTCAACGTGCTCTACCACTTCACTCCCTATTTCTAAGCTAGGAGTCAATGTAGTCTAGTCCTGTAACATCATCTTACATTTGGCGAGAGAGAATTTCATCCCAAACATTCGAACATTGCAGCTGAAGGTGTTCAGAAGACCCTGAATTTTGTCAGCGTCTTCACCTAGGAGCAGGACTATATCATCTGCATAACCTAAGTCAACGAAATTATTCCCTGGAAACAAGTCAATCACTGAGTCGCTAAAGTCAGCAGTTAGGGTTAAATCCATTAGTACATCTATGATGAAATTGACGGACACCACTAGTTGTCACCAGTTCAGATGACAATTCGCCGTAACCTCTCACGTGGCTGACTGCATGGGTTTAAGTGGAGTGCCTTGATCAGTGCAATGTATTTTCTCGGCATTCCTTTTACACCCAAACATCACTGGAGTACCTCAGAGTACTTTCTAGACAAACTTGGTACATCGTAGATACGGAATAGGCCACACGAAATAATAAAATAACACTGTAAGGCTAATAAAATATTTAAGGGCATGCATTACTTTTAAAGGACCTTCAACTAATTCAGTTTCGTTTCTTTAGTTATTTGGTAGTGTCTGTAACCACTGAGTTGCATGATTTTACAGACCCCACCAGTGAGTTGTAATGCAAAAACGCAACTATTTCTTATCCAATGGTGACGTGACATGACGATGCCTGCACTCCACTATTGTGTGGGTTAGCAAACAGAAGATGGCATGGAAGTCACTGGAATGACATTCTTGTTACAAGTGCAGGTCACCAGAGTCAATGACTGACCGGATGGCAGCAGTTCAAGTTTCCACTCCATGTAGCACTTATAGGTAGACAAAAGATTCGATGTCCGGGAAAAAGCATAGGAGCCAACCAGATAGCATACACTTCCCTTGATTGTTCATGTACTGATGTCAGGTTTTTGCTTGACCGTCCCTAACTCAGCTGACGTTTCGCTTCGAGGAAGGCTGTGGCTCGGCGCGGGGAACATCCTACCCATCGCAATCGATTCACCTTCAAAACCGTCAATTCACCTACCGCCTTACTTAACACTGCACCTAACCTCAATATTACTCAATATTATATCATTAACACGGAGGGTAGAACATATATATGTGGTCATCATGTATTCCGCTCTCAGTGGTCATGTTCCACAACAGTAAAGTACAAAGCAAACTGCTGTGCAGTACTCACTTTTGATCGGTAGTTGGTGATTATCTTTATGCCAGAAATGACGTGAGTTGTCAACTGCCACACGAGCCTTTTCTACTCCTCAGATAACAGTCCATTAAGGCTTATCCAACTTCCCTAATTAATGAAGTGGTCGACGCTCTATTCCACTGCACTTTAAGGTAGGATTCTGTGTAATCAAGTTGTGCAACATCACTGTACATTTGACAGGAGCGAATCATATGCTAAAAATCAGGATATCTGCTCAAGCCGCTAAGAAAACTGTATTCTGTCAGTGTCCACCTAGGAGGACAATATCATCCAAATACTGTAAACCACAAAACTGTACCCTGGTAACAATTGTCTCTAAATAGCTATTCAATATCAATTCCACTAGCACGTCTATGTTGATATTGGACAAAGATGGGGACAGGGGGTATGCCTGGCGGATATCACTGGTTGTCATCATCAAGACAAGTTTCCATGATCTTCTACATGGCTACCCGAGTTTGAGTAGAGTGCCTATGTTAGTGAGATAAACTTCCGTGGCACTCCTCCGTCAAATAATACCATAGTACCTCTTATTCTATGAGATCAAATGCCCCCTTCAGTTCGAGAAGTATTGCAAGTGTTGAACTCCGGTATATATGCCCATGTTCCCGAATATGCCGAAGGGTGAACATATGTTGTCAATGCACCCTCTTCCTAGCCTAAAGCCTACCTCATCTCCTCTGGTTTGTTTCTCTCGAGCATCACTTAGCCTGTATACGGTTATTAAAACTAAAACCTTAGATACCGTATTAGTCAAGCTAATCCCTCTATGTTTATTACAGGAGGACTTGTCTCACTTCTAATAAACTGGATTATTCAGTGATTTACAACAGTCTAAGGAAACTGTCTCTGATTCCTAAGTGTTCCATTCAACTTCCCAGCCTTCTGTTCTAACAGCTTATTAAGGCTCTCCTTTTCTCAAAGATTGTCTCTACCATAATTTGCCTTTTGCAGCCTGTTTCCCCAATAAGCCTAAGTAGTTGTGTGATGTTGGCTGTCGTCGATATCTTCTACATCTGTTTCGCTTTTGTCGCCCACTACTGCTCACAGTCGTTGCAAAGACTTCTTGTTAGTTTGCGCTTGAGCAGCTTTCGCTCCTCACTGTGTTTGGATCCCACCAGAATCAGTCTTCTCGCGTCAGTCATTTCGGGTGAAATAGCAGCAATTCACTCTGATTTACTAACCTTTGGTTTTAGGTTATCAATAGCCTCTACCACTTTCTTTGGCAGTCTCCTACTGACCCTCTCTATCGGTAGCTTGTCGCTATGTTTAAAGTTTGTGCTTACCAGGAAATGACTATATGAAGAGGACTAGAAGATAACCACCGTTGTCGGTTCGTCAGGATGGAACTCAGTAGGTGCCGACAGTACGCTTCTCTGACTGGCACAACTTTCCTACTTGAGCATTGAATTCAACTGCTAGAACTACTGTGTCTGAGCGTTTTACTTTTAGCTGCAAACTAGAGAGTTTCTGTTAGAACTCATCCTTTATTTCATGCAAGCTGTAGTCGGTTTGGTATGTAAGTGGAGATTATAAGAAGTCATAGATGGGTATCGCAATCCTCCCCTTCTAATGGATCCGTCCAGTCGGACATCACACATGACTATCCACTAGAATACAGTCAGATATAGAATTTTTGACCTTGGCAATCAGTGCTATCATTACACTCGCAAGTTCTCGCGAACCAGCTGCAGGATATCCTGACATCCGTTACGTGGATTGTGCAGCTTCATTCCGTTGGCCAGGTGGAGTTAAGTGAATAATCACACGGGTTTTGTTTGCGTGTGTCTGAAATACAACATAGATCCATCGTTCGAAATGCCAGAGTTCAGGCTAGTGATGCCTATTATCTGATTTGGCCAAGAATGCCAACGTGAAATGCTCCAATATGAAGTTGGCAGCGTAGTTTTAAGGGACTATGAGTAATGTTTTTCAGGCTCTGGTCGCCATTAGTGGCCGGTGAGTTAAGAGATGAGAAGCCTGTCTGTGAGATGGTATTAACAGCAAGAGGGAAGCAAGGTGATGAAGGTTGGGGAACAGTAGTTTCGTCTAGTGTAACTCGTTGGATCATTGTGATATGTTAGTCTGACCACCACACCAGGGTAGTGGTTATTGGTTGGGACCATAGATGGTGCCTTACAATGAAATCTAGCAACAACTACCAAAATACATGAGGTGTTCAACTATTTCTAACTGTGGGTGAATGAGAACTCAGTTTCCATCCAACCTTGCCTCTGAATTTCGTACGTTGATTGTGATTCAAAGCACATACCATTGATCTTCGTAAATTGAAATGGTAGGTTTCATGTAAGTGCTGCTTCTTCATCCACAGTTCATAACCATTCGCTGGAAAATTACAAAAAAATTAAATTGTGGTGTTGTCACCAACGTGATATATACAGTCGTACTTAGGATACATACTTCTGACATATGGTCATCTCTTTTTCTTGCTCTCTGATCACAAAATCTTTGAGTCATTTGGAGTAGACTGTTCCCAGCCATTGAAATGTTTGTCAGCATTAAAATAATCTTTTTTTAATCATGTGATCACTAGTGCCAAGTTCATTTTTGGCACAACCATCAGTTGCCGTTTTGATTTAAATGTAATTTAAGATTGTTTATGTCTTGTTTCCAATTCTGTTTGTTTTCATCAGGTGTTTTCATCAAGTTTGCTTTTTGATGAAATATGATGCATTGTGATACTCCCCTCCACCCATCATACTCGAGACAGCTGTTTAGGCAGTGGCATTCTGCAGACTATAAGATCAGTGCTGAAAATCTTGTCTATCCTGTATTTTTGAGGTAAAATGTATCATATTTTTAAAATTCCAGTCAGGAACCTGAATGCGATCAACTAATTACCAGTCTAATTGATCAACGTCGAATAGGATGTAATCGGATCATCGAGTTCCTATCACCTTTGGTGGCAAAACATTTGAAATCTGTATTGCTTTTCGGAACCATTAGTAAAGACCAGAAGGATGCTACAGGATCAGGCTGTGACAAGTCAAATTCACCAGTTCTTCGTTCAATAGAACTAATCAAATCAAAATTCCCAAACCTAGTTGTGATATGTGATGTTTGCCTTTGTGCATACACTGATCATGGTCATTGTGGTACTGTCGAACCAGCTTTTTTAATCACAATCTAGGTATATTACGTAGCGATGGGTCTGTTGATGTACCCAAGACTGTGGAACGCTTGGCTGAGATATCTACACGGTTCGCTTTAGCAGGTAACCCTACAATTAGTTTCTTCCGTTAAGTTTACCCTAGTCAACAAACTATGATTCAAATGTAGTTGTTCAAATTAAAATCAGTGAAATAGTTCAAATAAAATTTAATTATATTTGATCTATTCCACAATGCTCAAACATTTCACTGAAATAGTTCAACTTTATGATATCGTTGAATGTGTAGGATACCGCTTTTCAACTCACCAAAGCCAACAAATGGACTGACTTAGTGTACACATAGCTGTGCTAAATGTGATAAATTAAGACAAATTTTTCAGAGTAACACATTTTGTAAGTGAGATAGGTGGAACCGGAGGTAATTTATGTAAAGGTTGTAAATTTTGAATTTTAGGCATAACTAAACTAAAAACGAGATTGAATTTCCTTGAAACGCATAGATCTCACCTATTTAGTTGGATCCCGATAGTTTTCACTATAGAGGAATAATAAAATTAGATGCAACATGGTAAATCTAAAAGTTTTATTATCGTCAGCTACATTTTCAGTATTGATAATATGTGTCAGAGTAGAACAGGTAATTGACTACTTACCTCTTTGTTCTTTATAAACGAGACATAATGTTTATATTATTTTTACGATTTTGACCATGGATTGATATCAGTTAGAGAACCATTGAAGACCAGGGAGTACTGGACAGTTGTTTCATCCTAGTTTTGGGAATCATTGGCAGTACGCACCCACTGGGGTTCAATCCCAGGACCTTACGGTTGCAAGGCGAGTTCGTATACCATTCCGCCACTGGGACCCGATTCAATAGCCCGTGAATTCTCACTTCTACCAATTCGTGATATAACGCGAATACCAACCAATGTCATCGGTGGGACAGCCATCCTTACATTTGACTGGATGGTATACGAGCTTGCGTTGTAACCGGAAGGTCCTGGGTTCGAACCCCAGTGGGTGCATACTGCCGACGATTCCCAAAACTAGAATGAAACAACTGTCCAGTACTCCCTGGTCTTCAATGGTTCTCTAACTGATATCAATCCATGGTCAAACTCGTAAAAACAAATCTAATCCTTACAAACCAACTCTTGAAAATTATCATATTATGTTTGCTAAGTTATTATCGTTAACTTATGCAAGGATTTCTACTGTCAGTCAACGGTTCGCCTAATTCTTAATCAGTTTTCCTATCTGGCTAATTAGTAGATAATACACTGAATCGAGTAGGATGTGTATTTAGTCTGGAAACTCAAAGCCAAAATAAAACTGAGGATTCAAATGTGGTACATCATACTGGCATTTTATAATCATAACAGCGATTGATTATGTCACTTTAGCTATTGATCAAAATCAGTGCAAAGTAAATTTTAACTGGTCATTTTCCGGACTGCTTATTGAACCTAAATCAGCTCACCCTAGAGAATAATCACTTGTAATTTTTGGATATCCTCGTGAATCGAAAAGATTGTTTGGCAAAGTGAGCGGTATACAGAAAGCATACTCATGTGATTGCCTAGAGTTTATGTTCGATGTGGTAAGATTCCATAATCTAATACGTCTATCCAACAAATATCATTAGTAAGTGAATGAAGATGACAATTGAAATACTTATAGAGGGAGAATATTCATTGGACTGAGAAAGTTAAATAGTCTTACTTACTGTTTCACAATAAATTTGACCTATAGCCTAATGTGTAAATCGAAATGTAACCAAAAATTTTCATTGGTATATTTAAGGAAGAATGAAAAACGGTTAAAAACAATGCTAAAAGCTTCTTTTTATGAATACGATTGTAAAATCTGCAACTTAACTAAACTACGTGAAGTAGAATAAACTCTCATTTCTGTCCTTTTGAAATCCATAGCTGTGAAACAGGTTTACTCATCACTGAACTTACAATAGACGTAATCTGTCTTAAAAGATTATATTATTTTCCTGTCCCCCGACCCCCGCGCGTCCACTACTATTACATTTATACTCTACTATTACTGTTCTTAACTTGACTCTTTCAAATTTAGTTGAGTTCTACTCAGTCCCGTCACTACATTACGTCACTCAGTTTACTTATTTAATTTTATTTCAGTTCCTATCCGATTAACGCCTTCTCCATTACTTATTTGTTATCTAAAATTTACAGCCCTAACGACATCTCTGGAGACATTCATTTTGTCGCTAAGATATATATATATATATTCATGCAATCATACACCTTGGGAATAATATCACTGAAAACAGTAACTCCTTTAAACGCTTTTCTTTCTCACAAAACATTCATTTGAAGATGATAGGATTATAAAAAACAATGCTTCCCAACAGCTGCGTACCCTTGAGTGTTTTTGACAATGAGTTACACGTATTGTCGGAGGGCTGGTGATACAGTCTATTTTTACGAAATCACCATAGGTGGGGTCGGATTCAAACCCGCAACGCACTGGCATAAAGTCGAATGCTTAATCTAATCACCTACGGTAGTCTGCAATTTATAAAAAACTTTCATAAAGGTTTATTAGATAACGGACACTATGCATCTTTATTTCTGGGATGTTAACTAGATTGGGTACATTTTTTGTACAAGTTTACTGTGAACGGAAAAGATTTTTGTTTTTGTCAATAAAAACGTTCCTTGATGGATTACATCTTTGAAAATAAGATACTGATTGGATTTTTATGCTCATTATGTGTATACTGACGAGATATTTTCGCTGTATTACATAATATATGCTGCTGTTGATTTCTAAATTTGCTGATACATTTTCAGTATTCTTTCGTCACTCAATAGTATTTATTCATTTTTTACAGGAGCTGATGTGATCGCTCCTTCCGACATGATGGATGGACGTGTAAAAGCAATTAAAATGGCACTTCAAAACGTTGGTCTAACTGAAAAAGTTGCGGTTATGTCTTATTCCGCCAAATTCGCATCATGTCTCTACGGTCCTTTCAGGTAATATATATATATATAAGTTTTTGTTTGTGGTCGATTGCCTAAGTTTTAAGAAAGACTGGATTTCAATGACTTTTGAACCGCTTACTTAATAACCTGTATAACTTAATACAGAAAAATCTATCACCTCATAGTAACCAGTTTGGTTATGTACTTGTGAATGTGTTGATCGGAATCGATGAATCCGGAGTGAAATGCATTCAGTGGGCGAAGTGGCACAACATTGTTGTAAATTTTAATAACACTTGGAGCTTGTTGATATGCGTAAGTAGATTGTGTATATTTCCCCTAAGATTTAATTCAGTCTCACTCATCAACGAATTCCGTTACTTTACAATTAAGGTATATCATAAATGGCACAATTTAGACCGAATTTTCAGTCGACTGGTTAATGAACGCTACAAGCCGGGTGTCTAACCGATTAATCACTGGCGCATAAAACCATATCTTGATGCAGAAGAGTGTGCTAACTCTCAAAAGCATAGTAAAGCTTCATGCAAATGTTACGTTTGGTAACTGAGGTGCAGTACAGATATGCATTCATTTATACGATGTAGCACTCTGTGAAGTAATTTATACTATGTATACTATACTATATGATTAAAGTAAAGTGTTAAAGGCATAGCTAGGTACTGAGGACTTAAAACCTTGGTTAAATGGTGAAGCCACTGAACTACTGTAGAAAAACACTACATCTGTCATACAGAGAAATTTTTCTATTGAGCCTACCACAGACATCAAGCTGTTGATAAGCAGAATCGATGGATGTTGTTGGAAGGTTACAGCTCTTATCAGGGCGCTTTCGTGGACTCTGACCATTCGTTAACGTATGCATGTGTATATATGTATGGCGCAGAAGACAAGCAGCTGTGAAGCTCCTACATAACTGCTATGAGGACAATTACTTCATATTTCTATTTAAGGATAGTCATTTAAAACAGCAGTAACGACAATTAATTAATTAGTAGTTAATTAATTAATTAGTAGCCCTCATAATAAGTGATTGGTTTTAACAGGCTCTGGAAACATGAACCAAAAGGAAATCAACTTAAAGATGAATCATAGAGTGCATCAGTGGCACAATGGTAGAATGCTCGCCGACCACGCTGGTGGTTCAGGGTTCGATCCGCGGCATACGCACCCCTTTACCTCGCTAAGTCAGTAATAAAGCTAGTGAATAGGAAAGGTTGGGCATGAGGATAGCAACTCCATCCTGTGACAATATACACTGCTACAGAAACTTCAAGCCTCTAACTTGAAGCCCCTGTGTTCCACTAGGAACGTAAAGGAATCAAAAAAATTTAAAAAAAAGTATGATTCACTCCTGATGAGGACAATGGACATGTGTGTCTGTCTACTGAATCGAATGCCGCCTTTCCTGTCAGGAAATATGACGATTGTTGGACTCCGGTAAGAATGCCTATGTTCCAGAATCTGTCGAAGGGTAAAGATATGATCAATATACTCTCTTTGTGGTCTAAGGCCTACCTGGTTCTCTCGTGTTTGTGCCTGCCGAGAACCGCTTAGTCCACGCGTTGTTATTGAGCCTAGAACTTTAGATACCATATTAGTCAAGCTAATCCCCCTGTGATTATCGCAGGAAGACTTGTCTCCCTTCTTGTATGTTGGGATGATCAATGACTTACACCAACCCGACGGAACTTCATCTGATTTCCAGACTCTGCTTAGTACCTTAGTTAACGCAGACAGTAAACTGTCTCCATTGTACTTAAATAGCTCTGAAGTCATTCCATCGGGTCCTGCTGCTCTGCTTAGTTTCAAACTAGTGACAGCTTTTGTAACCTCAGTTAGTGACGGAAGACCTGTGTCTATATCCCATTCAGGGCGGGGGTTGTATGTTTTCGGTAGGTTGAGCGTGGCTGTGGGCCGATTAACCTCCTCCTCGAAGTGTTCTTTCCAGCGTTCCAGTTTATCCTGGGAGCTGATTATGGTTCCACTTTTCTCAGATATTGTTTCACTTATCATTTGCCTTTTACTACCTGTTTCCCTGATAAGTCTAGATAGTTGTGGGGGTTACCAATCGCCGATGCCTTTTCCATCTCTTTCGCTTTTGTCGCCCACCACTGTTCACGGTTGTTACGAAGACTTCTTGTTAGTTTGCGTTTGAGTAGCTTTCTCTCCTTATCATAATCGGAGCTCGTCGGAATCAGTCTTCTAGCGTCAATCAGACCGGATGAGGCGGTAGAGATCCAATGGCTCTTACTAACTTTTGGTTATAGGCTATTAACAGGTTTTGCAGGTGTGTCTCCAGCTAACTGTATGTTGTGGCAGGCTACCTCAGGAGGAGTCCTTCTGTCGACTTCAGATACACGTTTCGCTATTTCCTCCTGAAATAGGGACTCAGAGTTTCGATCTAGTTGGGGACGCAACTGCTCCGCTGCCAGCAATTTCTTATGTCCGTCTAGTCGTAAGCATAAATGTGCGCGGCTCAGAGCGTGATTGGAATCTACGCACGTGTTCCAAAAGGAGCGGCAGTTTTCTGTCGACCCTCGCCAACGATACCCTATCGCCATGTGGGCTATTTGAGTCCACCGTTGATTTGATGATAGAGGTCGTAGACAATGGACAAAGGTGATAATGCATCAAAATGAAACTGAAATGACTGAGATATTGAGGTAAAATTACCAATTGTAATAAAGTTGAAATCTTAATTTTATGTGAAATAGAAACTCGTAAGAGTAAGAACAAGTAAAATATGGTGCTTATGAAAGACTAATAAACAGTTATGATGGCGAATAAAGGAGCTAATGATAATTAGAAAATGAGATCTACTACAAAACTGTATGGAATTCAATAGTTTGAAACGGGAGATCTTCGAGTTTATGATAAATAGTATTTAATTGACCTCTGAGGTACAACTATATTGACTTAGTTGTTGGGTTTACATATCGCTCTGAACGAAGAAGCTATGCTGGTTAAATCAATGTTAGAAAGGTCTTTTGGATAAATATGTGACTAAAAGTGGTTGTGGTCCTAGTGTGAACTGTTTACATGGAGGTGGGGAAAAATTGTTTATACAATCTGGAGGTTGATTTTATTAGAAAAGCAATCGATAATTGATGAGATCCAGCTTACCATTAAAAATGAAAGAATGCCTAATTATCATCGGTGGTAGGATCTACAGTATCTCCAGATAAATCACTCTTACTTATGGCTAACATATTACTTTTAATGCAAGACAAGGAATTGTTTGACCTGAAAGAGATGAGTCTCACTTATCAATATAACTGGTGATGGCTTGTGGTGAAAAGCTTAGCTAACTTGTACTAGATATTTCAGTCAAAGTTGTAGTGACATAAACGTAAAATAAAGATGCCTTGGTTGTTGTTGAAACAGATTCAATGAAAATATGTAGGCTAAAGACGTTTGTCTAAATTGCATGGCATGATACTGAACAGCGAAGTATCTCATCAAACAGGATGTCAGGCAGCTGCATAGACTTCAGAGAGAACTTGAAGAACTTTCAGTTAATCGCATTCTTCAGACTGATTTTAAAAATCTACACTGGGGTGGGTTCCATGACATGTCAGTGTTATTACTTATTATACTATTATTTCAAATCTGTATATGGACTCTTGAAACTTCATCTTTCAAAACAGATTTACATTCGTTAATACCAGTTAACACTGCTAGGTGTATTCAGAAAGTGTTTCTTTTTGAAAGCTACTAAATACCTGAATTTCTTGATAGCTCTTTTATTTCAAATCCCTTCTAACGATCTTCACTGCACATGCTCTTTATCATGTTGACTTTACGTATTGGGACACCTAAAATATTTTTACTTACCACTAGTGCTTCCTTCTTGGTTAAATAAATTGTGTACTGTCAGTTTTTAAGAATCCGAACAGCGAACACAACTGTTATTGCTGTTTATTGTCTTTCGGGGAATAAAACAACAATTCGAACACACATTCATCTTATTGACTGCTCCTTCAAGTATTGCATAAGGCCAGACATTTCTATAGCAATTGAAAAGTAATTCTACCCTTGTGAAAGTTTTATACATGCTAAACTTCCTTGTTTTCCAGAGATGCTGCACAATCTGCTCCTTCTTTTGGTGATCGTCGCCACTACCAACTTCCTCCTGGTGCAAAAGGATTGGCTATTCGCGCTGCTGTACGGTTTAGAACATTGATTTTAATTTTTTTTTATCAATTGACAATTTCACAAATTCGATTGTAAATTGGTTAAAAACAGAACCGTACCTGTGCGGCTTTAGACCTTCGCTTAACTTTGCATAGTCATGTATATTATTATCTGTACAGTGACACTATTTTTTATTATCCACTGTTGGTTGATTTCGTGGGTCATGTGTCATTTCTCCTTAGCCTAAGCTTTAATTGCCACATACATCATGCATAGAATAATCCACATTACCAACCAATTATCACGAGGTGAGGAAAGCAAAACAATTGGAGAAAAGGCTGTTTACAGCATGACGCATAACGTATAAGTTGGGTTTTGTTGTTTAACTCCAACTTACAGTCAAAGTGGTCAGGAATTCTAAAAATTAGTTCTGATGATGTCAAAATGTATACTAATAGTTAATTGTATGAATATAACATATTATGATATAATATTCATAGTATGTGCTTTCACTAATCAGTATTGTTTAAATGCGGAAGTGTAAACAGTTAACTAGCCTCCAAAGCCTCAGGATGGTCGGGGGTGGGTGCCTTGCGCTGCGGGTTGGCCACCCCTCCGCACACCTCTTGAAATGCTCCCATATGACCGGGCGTCTTACATAGCCTCTCCTGAGGAAGTCCTACTCACTGCCTTCACGTGGCGGAGGTGTTTTTCACCAAAGTGAGAGAGCGAACGCGGATGCCCGGCGCTCTTCACCGGGTTGACTGTCCATTGGATGACAGTCTTGGGGAGATGGCTAAACCCTGATTCTAAACCTCCAACGACTGGCGTATGAAGCTCACCGGCAGACGTATGGACAAAGGGCTTGTTGGATGTCCTGGATGTCTGGCCCCATTCAAAAAGACGTATGAACCGAACTCCGGTCACCGGCTGCCAATGGATAGTGGACTCCCTACTCCACTCCTACTGCCTTGTAGGTCACACTTGGTTGTGTAAAGGCTAGAGCTGCACTCTCAAACAAAAGGCCGAGCGATTCTGGGGACATCACTCGTTCCAAATTCCCATGAAACTTCATGAATTCATGAAGTCGGCTCATCCTCCCGTAGGAGATAGCCGAAGTAAAGTAAAGTAAGTAAACAGTTAACTACAGTGAGAATAATAACATAGTGTAAAATGCACTTGTTGATTTACGTGAGTATCTCATCCAAGTTAACTGTTTACTAATATAACTATAGAAAAGAAGTCTGTCTACTTAAAATTCATGATTACTTCAATATCCAGATGTTTCCTTTTTGAAATATTGTATGTAGTCCACTAAAATTCTCTTCTCAAGATACTGATTAATCTATTAAAATACAGAGGAATCAGGTGCTGGTTGCATTTTTCTCATTGAATGTGTCATCATCAGTGAATCAGGGTTACACAAAATATTAAAGTATCCTGAGTGTTCATCTAAATTTTCTAATACAACATGTAACCTGAACTGTCATCCTAAAAGTGTGCACACATACACTTAATCAGTTAGTGTTTCTTATAGGAATTATTCAGAAGAGAACACAGTGAATTTATTGATTGATCAACTCTGTTTTGGACGAAGAATGCTGTAATCCCTTTACTTTAACTGACTATCCATTTTGTCTCAATTGGTTGATAAAATCTGATTCGTGTGCAACGTAGAGGCACAATTTAGGATGATTTTTCAATATGTTCCAGCCAGAAAATAATCTGCGTTGGTTAACTATATACAGTTGTCCGTTTAGTCGGGAGTTACTTTGCTTTTCCTAACTGGCTGTTTCCTTTGTACCGACTGACTGGCTAGGCATATGTCGGTCGTTTAAAGCAGTTTCTAGAAGCTTTCCTTTGACCGTCGAAACTTCTAATTACCCATATTTTAATGTCAGCAGCCATGTCTCACAAACGTAAAGTGGGAGAGGACAAACTCGTGCGCAATGCACACGTCTCTTTCGATCTTGCCAAAGATTATATACTATACCATATACTACATCCTCAATAATAAAAAAAATTGATACATGATGGATGTGATTTTCATTTATTTTATTATTAAGTGTTTTCATTGATTTTTCCCCTAGTTTTATTGTACCTTTTCTTTTTTCAAAATCCAGATCCGAGACGCAAATGAAGGAGCTGAGTTTATAATGGTAAAGCCTGGTCTTCCTTATCTTGATATTCTAGGCGAACTTCATCAGTTAGTAAGTTCTTCTTGCATATCATCTAATCTGTATTCAAAAATTATTTCTTAATTTATTTGAGTGATATAACTGTGAAACCGTACTAAAGCTTTCTAATTTGCTCCTATTTTTTGTTTTGAAGGGTATCAGTAATTCTTCTATTAATTGTAGCTATAATCCTTATGTAATTCTCTTTCTTTGTTTTGTACATTCTATCATTTGGTTGGTAAATTATTTTTCACTAAACTATAATAATTCATTGCTTTCAGTTAGGTGTTTTTATGTAGTGTAATGTTACACACTTCAATTTTCAGGAAATAATATTAGTCGAAGTAGTAAAATATCATCACATCGACTCTTATTTTACAACATTTGCAAAATGATCAGGTGTTTGGTAGGCATTGGTTCGAGTGTATTTTCGGTTCTTCACTTAAAAAAAAAATTATTTTATTCCTTTATGTTCCCAAGGGAACATAAGGCTTCTTCAGGCTTCAGATTTGTAGCTTCAGTAGTGGTGGTGTTTTTATGAGGTGGGTTTGCCAGCCTCATGCCCAACCTTCCCTCTTTACTTATTTATTTATTTATTTGCGATAGCAACTTGATGCCACACCGTATTCTCAGTTCAAGTATGACATTTTCAGCATGGATATCGGTAGCCCAAATTTTGCAGGCTGACCATAGATATCGGGTGTGCGTCGGCAGGGGATCGAACCCCGGACCATGTGCATGGTCGGCGAGAGTCCTAACCACTGTGCCACCGACGCACAACCAACCAAGTGCGTCGGTCGGTTTGCAAGCATCCTACCACTAAACCTTTCGGTTCATTAATATTTCACGCATTCTATTATGACCAGAGTAACTTCAACTGTTTAGTTGAATACTGCCATTTGTTTAAAATTCACACGAATACTTCAGAGGTTTATAATTTCTAGTTGTTTCATACAGTTGAATATCTATTGTTTTTCCTACAACATCTTTGTATTAATTGTGAATTACCTATGTTCAAGAGTATCTACAGTTCTATTGCAAGAATTTTAATGGGCCTGTGATAGTGCAAATATTTAATGTTATAGTCTCAAATAAATAACAAGTTGTATTACTTATTTCATTTTTCATACATTTATTCCCCTTAATGAATTTGAACAAAGCAAGAACTACAGTTTTTGCAGAATAAAGTGGTACCATCCTTTAGTTCGCTGCCTTCTCGTCAGCTGCTTACAGGCTGAAGACATTATTAAATATATCTACAATAACAATTTTAACATACTTGCACAGAGTTCATTTTAAACAAAAATCAATCCATCAATATATGCATACAGTAATGTATATATATATATATATATATATATTCCGAACAATAATACTCATACACAATGGAAACTTCTCGGCATTTCGCATTCAGATGAAAAAGAGATGAAAAATATCCAGTTACCAGGGCAAAGAAAGATTGATAACTGTTTCTTTCTGAACGCACAAATCAGGTTTCAGGTGCTTGATGGAAATGGCTTCAGCAAACTTAAGGAGAATTGAGCTCTTTTGCCTATTGATAATTTTGAGCGACTTTTCGACGTCCACCTCATAACCCGTGTCAAGGAGATGCCTGGCGATGGCACTGTTTAAAGCATTTGTTTCCTTTAGACATAAGCTTTTTGGTACATGTACAGAAAATCGTAGATATGCCCTTCTTCTCCCACAAAACGTAAAATTAACCATTCCCCAAAATGGTTTTGTATATAAAAACTATAATCTTACCTTAGTATGAATAGAAGCTGTAGGCACAGACATGAAAATATTTTTTTTATCTAAGAGTTCGTGTTGTAAAGGAAAACAGTTGACACGAATTCAATCTTTTTTGACATCTAGAAATTTGTCAAATCACTGTGAGTAATTGCAATGTCATCACGATTATTCATCATCTAGTGTCAAATCAACACACAAACGCACAATATATTTTATGTTACTGTATTCATTCCTCCTCTTGGTGGTGGTGGTTCAGGTATCCGAGAGTAGTGTTTCATATGCAACCATTTAAAATAAAGAACACTTCCAGCCATTAGTTTCGTGAGCTATGCGTATACTACTCACAGTGCAATTTTTTTGGAGGTCACTGTTAATTTATCAAGGAATTGAAACAAATTTATTTTTGGGTTATTATGATGAATGACTTGCTCTTTTGTTTTGTTTTTTGTTTCACTCTTGTTTCCCACCTAGCTACCCCACCACCCTCTAGCGGTGTATCATGTTTCCGGTGAGTATGCAATGTTAAGACACGCAGCGAACGCTGGAGCTATTGATTTGAAACAAGCTGCTCTTGAAATAATGACCGCATTCCGTCGTGCAGGTAAAATGGTCTGTCTTTATACTTATTGTTTATGTAGAAAAGTGTTGTTTTAAATTTGTATGAAGTCTTTTTGCGAAGCAAATTTTGTTGCTTCACACCAAACTAATAAATATCCAGACGATAGGTGTTACAAGTTAACTGATGCAGTTTTAGCGACCTGTCTGACTGACTGAATCACTATAAAATAATGTAAAACGATCCCAATGTGTTTAGAAAATTAAAAGAAGCTGTAGTCTGCACGACAAATTGTTTTCAAAAGTTATTATTTTCACTTTCTAAACATGCGACGATTATTTTTATATAACTATACAACGAAAGTTGTACAAATTATTTGTAGGACTACGTTTCATATTTATCTACTGAAAACGGTGTTTCAAGTATTTTTGAATGCATGTCTTTGTGTTTGTTTAACTTGTCCCATTTAAGTTAGTGCGCTTTACTATTAACCACTTTGATTAATAATTATTTCTAAGCTGTAAGCGTTAAGTTCTCATATCTTAGTAGTTCAGTGGACAGGATGTTTCGGCTTTGGTGTGATGGATGATAGATTCATATTTCAGTATGAATGTCACTCACTAGGATGTAAGTAACGTCTGTTTGATGAATCATGAATAGGACGTTTTAGATTCCGCTGATAACGAAGATCTATCCAAAATAACTATGAAAATTAAAAGCTAACTATTTGAATATGTTTTTTAAGATTGCCTGTAAGAAAAAATAGAGCTATGCATATTTCAACAGCATGCCTTTTGTGATTAGATGCATAGTGTATGAGTACAGTGAGTAAGGTAGTCACTGAGAATTAAATAAAATCAGTAGAGCAGTGGTGTTTTCTTGGTTTTTACCAACCGTTCTTACAGCTTACAGAAATTCTAACGTCATGTCATAAACTTTGATTTGTTTGATGGAAAAATACTGATTCAAACGGAGGACTACATGAACATTACATTAATTGCGAACCGGAATAATCAGACAAATATACTTGCAAAATGACTAAAGAACGACATGACAAATGTGCTTACATCACTGTAATTACTTTCATATTGATAACTGCAGTTCACTGCATTTATCGAGTAACTGCTTACATATATATGATTAGTCATTAAATGTCACCTGCTTCAAAATTATAGGATTTCGGCATATATTTAGCATATTTCGGTGTTAAAATTGTAGCAGACTAAACGACCTAAATCAACAGAATGAAAGGATATAATCTTAGCCTTTCTCAAAATGTTGTTCTAGCTTGGTTGAACTCTATCAAGATAACCAATTTTGTGAACTTCTCATGAAATTGAATTCGATAGCTGACAATTTAGTTACTGGTTGAATAAATAATTGGTTCCTATCTAAATACATTAGATATACTTGTGTTCTTTGTGGTTTCTGTTGAAACAGCGGAATTAATTATATTTAATACCTATTTTATACTAAAATTCATTGCTACTTCACCTCAATTTAAAATATGAATTTAATGATTTAAAGTGTGCACTAAATTTGATGTGCATTAATACTATTAGACTCAAAAATTCTCTACTTCGCGTCGTATTAGAGTTGATCTTTATAAAGCTATCAAAGACCATGTAATAATTAACAAAAAATCGAAATAGATTTATTAATTGATTAATTTCAAGAGGGTATCACTGCTATCATGAATCTAATGTTTGATTGATCAGTTAAACGGTGGCATTTTATGCTGCTCTGTACAGCCATTAATTCAGAGCTAAACAACACTTGATTCTTAGGATATTGTGTAGTGGATTAGTGTTCATTTGGATTAAAATTCGAGCACTGAGTGTTTGATGCGTATATATCTAACTGTGTATGATAGTTTTCTATGCATCTACTAGTAAAATCTGTTGATTGTAGAAGTAGTTTTCTTTTAAATGCAATCATGTACTAACAGCGCTTTTTATGTTTTCCCTTTATTTCTGAATAATTAACAGGTGCCTCAATTATCATAACATATTTAACGCCATACTTATTAGATCTTGACTTATCTGAAGCCTGTAAATAACAGGTGGTTTCCCGCTAAATACCCATATTATATACTTCTGAAAAATCGTACAGTGATTAGGTTCTTGAAATCGTAAGCTCAGAGATAACTCGGAAACATTGTTTATCATTTTTTCTTTTTTACAAATTACATTCTAATAATGCCCTCTTTCTATGATTTGTTCATTGTTTCTCTATTGTTAGCATCATTTGTGCTTTTTCAACGTATATTTTTTGTCTATCTTTTGACATTGTAACCGCGTCTATCAGATTGATCTACAATAAATTTGTTATTCTGTACTACCGATTGAGCCTACATTTCACCCTCTTCTCTCTTTTTACTTTATTGTCAACAATGAAAAAAAAACAAACAAAAATAGCTGGAATTTATTTTGTTTGTTTTTTCTGTTCTGAGTATCATGAAAAATTGTTTATTGATTAAATTGATCATATGAGAAATTATTATTCTTAGTTGTATACAACATAAGTGAATATATATATCATACTTACTTGAAGAGTAGTGCACTTATATGCACTGAAGTTTTTCATTGTGTATATATGGTCGATTGGTTTTTGCAAGCTGTACACATTAAACTGTGTGTAGCAAAACAGATTAAAGAAAGGTTCATGCAAATATACCTTATAACTTCAATACTACAAAGAACTATATGTGCAACTTGCTGTGAAAATTTGTTAAGAAAAATTGATATACAAAATTACATTCTGCTAAATGCTAAAAGTTCCTGAGTTCCACAGGAATTATTCAAATAACGTGAGCATCATAGTTGAAAATTAAAACGTGCAAAAAGTTTCTAGGAACCCAACTGTTCAAAATAGAAAAAGGTTTACAAATAAGTGTTGTTATAAAAATAGCGATTTTAAACAATTAGTTCCCTTGATGGATTTTGACGAAACATTAAGAAAGCGCAATTTATCTTGAACGTGTAGTGTATTTTGTGTAACAGATTTCCGACATTCCCATCACACAAGTATATATATATATATATATCAAAGTGTTTGTGGGTCACTATCATAAATAATAAGATATAAGTTGCTCAAGACTAAATTCATTTCCCCAGAAGAAACGAAATTCATTTGTTCCGTAACAGCTTGTGTGCGATTATCTCATATCCCTCAGGATCAACCAGTTTACATATCCCTGTGGTCACAGGTATAAAGACATGACTCGTCGCTCTACGGGACACATTCCTAAGCGGCTACAACAACAAATAAAATCTCCTGATTCCAGTAATCCTGGAAAGCAAATTTCATCGTCGAATTTATGTGCGTCGGTGGCACAGCGATTAGGACTCTCACCGACCATGCATCTATAGATTACTGGCAGGACAACACTAACCAAATGGCGAGTAGGAGAAGCCGCATTAAGCGCCTCCGTCGACGAGGCTCACTAGCTTAAGGAGTAGGGATGACAGGGCGGGGAGTCATCTGCTAGCCTGAATTCACTGGAACATCGACAGTACAGCTAAACATCACAGCCTTGCAGAACACTGTCCATAAATAAAGTCTGTTGGCTGTGAGATTGAGGCAGACAAATTTGAGACTGGGCGTGATGAAAAACAATCTGTCAGCACTGTGAACAGATGATCATTAGGCACCTTGTCAAAACAGTCGGTATCGAAGACTGCAAGGAACGGCCTCTTCTCAATGTGCTTACACTGGTTAACCACGATGAATGTAGGCGTTATGTACCAGAAGTGTTATCGTGTTAGTCAGTATTAGACGCTTTCAGGTAATTGCCGAAGTTTGTGACTCGAATGACATCCAGTATGACAAGGAAGTATTGAACTGAGACCACCTGATTCAGTGAAAGCGAACTGTGAGAACAACTGTCACTGAAATCAGAACCAACTTCCTTGAATGCCTCCAATAGACAGAATCCCGCAATTAACAACTACGAAGACACAGGGATGTGTGTCACCAACACGCTCACTTTACTCCGTCAACACCTAAGAAGTCGCTGAGTTCACATTGCATTTCAATAGGGCCGTTGACAATTCCAAACCATACAATCACCCGATTATCTGGAGTGAAAATTCTAATCACATAAGTCTTCTCTAACCTCTCAATCAAGTGGTATCGTGTGATTAGGTTTGAGGCTTTAGGTGACCAAATCACTAAACTTACAACCTACTTGCAGATAGTACGAATGAAATTTGCTCACATCTACGAGATTGTATGTTGTGACTGTCTCAGGAGAGTGAAGTGAATCCAGTGCAGTGCAGCACTAACATATCAACTGCAGTCTCTTACTTGCCTACAATAAGATGAAGATTTGTTGCCACCAAGTCACTTTAACCTAATACTAAATCAGTATTGTCTATGACACAATATTACTGACTATCATGAAACCAGTTAGAATGCTTCCGAGAAGATGCGGTAAATAGCCTCCACAGTAATCAGGCTAACAGAACACACCACTCGTAGAAACTTCATAGTCAAGTTACTAAGTGATACTTACTAACTCTTATCATTTCGATTCTCATAGCTTATACTTTTCGCTAGAAAACTAATGAATACAAACTTTACATTGAGATAAAGTGATATTTAGAACTGTTTCACTACTTCAACGAATGGACATTAGTTTGAGGGGAACACAGATTGTGGAATCACCATCACCACTCATGAATATTGATTGGTTGCTTCAACTGAGAATTGTTATTGCTTCTGTTAAGTGTAGACTAAAATCCAAGTACCTTGTCAACCTTATTCTACATCGGCCAACATTTCTGACAGAGAAATGCGGTGTCTTCGTGTGCATAACACATTCCCCAGCTACCTTAGCCAATGTAGTTCCAACACGCCAGCGACTAACCTACTCTACTTACCTAAACAATCTATTACTAATCTCAGTCTTATCTAACGTAGGTCTATATCAGATGTGAACGATCGGACGAAGATATTAATCATCAAAATCTGTCATTTTTAACATCTTTTACTCTCAGTGTCCATGCCTCACGGACGTGAATTATCAGAGAAGAAAATGGTGCGTCGTACACACGTCTCTCCACACGAGACATGATACTTCGATCGTGTCAAAGATGACGCGGGTTGGCGAGTAGCAAATCAGCCTGTTGTATCCCCGTTGAGATCCCGTCAACCAGAAAATCACTACGGTTGATCTGAACTCTCAGCCATGCAGGACAATCGACACATAGAACAGATGATTGAGATGCTTTCCCGTCGGGTAGTATGTTGAACACTGTTTGACAAAATCAGTTGTCTACACATCTGCTCGTCAACAGTTGGCAAGACTTTCAGCAATAGACTCTGGTGGATATTAATAAAAATCTCAGATATCTGTGTGTCAATCATATCGAATCTTGTGTGATTTAGAGGAAATGGTTAGATATCAACCTAGTGAAGATTACTATGTGAAACAGGATAAGCTTCTAAAATCTTAGACATATATCTTTATTATATTATTGGTAGCGATCTGAATATTCGGCGTCGGCAGTGGCACATCTCCATTAAGCTCTGTTCTCTACAGTCTCGCTTTACAAACTGGAAGAGGAGGTAGGAAGTTCGTCATTAGGGCTAACAACGGAAACTCCTGGAGAATTTTCAAAGCGCAGAAGACAATATAAAAAGTATTTTTATCAGCAATGTTTATTGATTCAATAGATTTTATCCTACCTCATCGATTATCAATCGATGAAAAGAAGAAATGAGAAACACATCAAAGACAGGAAAGTATAGGTTGCAGAAAAAAATGCACAGTAATAACTTCTTCATGAATAAATGCACTTGATTAATTTATAAGATATATGTACAATAACCGAGATTGTTCACAATTTCAGAACGACAGTCTTTTGTTGAACTTTAAAAGGTCAAGAGGGAGTTGCAGTACTGAATCATAGTAATGCTTAATACCATTATATAGTACAAAGAAGAATGGAGAATAAAGACCAGAATTCACATTCAGTTAAATAATAAAGTAGCACTATCAAGTTGCAAGAACACTGATAAAAAATATAACTTGATGTAACTACTTTTCGCTAGAAAACTAATGAATACAAACTTTACATTGAGATAAAGTGATATTTAGAACTGTTTCACTACTTCAACGAATGGACATTAGTTTGAGGGGAACACAGATTGTGGAATCACCATCACCACTCATGAATATTGATTGGTTGCTTCAACTGAGAATTGTAATTGCTTCTGTTAAGTGTAGACTAAAATCCAAGTACCTTGTCAACCTTATTCTACATCGGCCAACATTTCTGACAGAGAAATGCGGTGTCTTCGTGTGCATAACACATTCCCCAGCTACCTTAGCCAAGATAACTTCATGTAACTAAATCTTTCAGCTTCTAGTACCATGGTTATTAGGAGGAATCAAATCACCGCCTCCAACTAACTGAGCAATTCCACGTCTACCAACTGCTTGTACTGCAGGAGTGAAGACCTGTAAAACAGAGAAGGAAAAAGTATTAAGGTATATTAGTCAGACCTCAGTTAAGCAAAAGAGATGATTCATTATTCACCACGCTATTAGCCACACTAATTGTATGTGTGGGGAGGGGGGGTTGAAAATGCCTAATACCTTAAGCTGAAGTAGATGGAGAAGGATTCAATCCACTGCTTAAAAGACAAGTGCTGAAGCTGAGTATTAAATTACTCAATGCAAACTGTATAATAATGAATAATTACTCCACTCAGTAATCACATGCACGTGCGTAGACTCCCATCACACTCTGGTTCGCGCACATTTATGCTTACAATTAAATAAACATAAAAAATTGTTGGCAGCGAAGCAGTTGCGTCCCCAACTAGATCGAAACTCTGAGTCCCTATTTCAGGAGGAAATAGCGAAACGTGTATCTGAAGTCGACAGAAGGACTCCTCCTGAGGTAGCCTGCCACAACATACAGTTAGCTGGAGACACACCTGCAAAACCTGTTAATAGCCTATAACCAAAAGTTAGTAAGAGCCATTGGATCTCTACCGCCTCATCCGGTCTGATTGACGCTAGAAGACTGATTCCGACGAGCTCCGATTATGATAAGGAGAGAAAGCTACTCAAACGCAAACTAACAAGAAGTCTTCGTAACAACCGTGAACAGTGGTGGGCGACAAAAGCGAAAGAGATGGAAAAGGCATCGGCGATTGGTAACCCCCACAACTATCTAGACTTATCAGGGAAACAGGTAGTAAAAGGCAAATGATAAGTGAAACAATCCCTGAGAAAAATGGCACCATAATTAGCCACCAGGATAGACGACTGGAACGCTGGGAAGAACACTTCGAGGAGGAGGTTAATCGGCCCACAGCCACGCTCAACCCCCGCCCTGAATGGGATATAAACACAGGTCTTCCGTAATTCCATTATGGGTAAATTTTGTTTTGATAGTCTCACAGTGTTATACAGTAATGTTTACTGATGACGTTTCGAGCACAATTTATTGCTCATAATCATATCAAGGTAATCACACGACTTCCTAAATTCATTTATATAGTTCCATTGTTTTTCACTTGATTTCATTGGTAGTAATATTTTCCATATTTCGGGTATCAGTGATGAATCATTCTTATTGCATATAATGGGTGTAGACTCGATGAACAAGGATTCAGTAATTAACCTCTCTCCACCTACTTAGATTACTTTTTAGAATTTTAACCCTCTCCCACCCTATTGTGTGGTTGTGTGCTAATGCATGCATTGCAATTGCTGAGCTTTTTTCTAAATTACTTATCTTGTCTGGGTCAACCATTCTTACCTTAGCTAAATTCTTATGTTCTGGCAATCTGACTACCCCTGACCTACTAGTTTGACCTATGTAGTGTGTACTTCAATTTGAAGTGAGCTTTTAGATTTCTCCATGACATAGTCATTCTACCAGCTGACAGAGGCAGAACAACAGTAGTCATGGAAAGAGAAGAATACACCAAGAAAGCTGAAAAACTACTCAAAGATGAGGATGTATATCAACAACTCACAACAAATCCCATACAAGCATTAGACAACCGCATCCAACGAACCTTAAACAAGCTCACCGAAACAGATCAGATCACAAAACAAGATCAATGGCGAATGAAATCCAATGGATCAGTCCTACACCGATTCTACGGCAGGCTCAAAATACACAGACCAAACATCCCGTTACGACCAACTGTATCACTCCCAAGAGCCCCAACATATAATTTGTCCAAAAACTATACAAAAAATTGAAACACCTAACGGATTCCCGCAACCACTCGATCAAATCTACTATTCAATTTCTAGAGTCTAGAGAAAATCAGAGGCATTCAAACAGGTGACCAAGAAATTATGATCTCCTTCGACGTCACAGCATTATATACCTCAAGTGGACAGAAACTAGCAAAAGAGACCATGGAGCAATTACTCAACAACGACGAACATTTCCCACAACAGTCAAAAATGCAACACACAAGTTGGATGGAATGCATAAATCTATGCCTAACAACTCCATTATGGATAAGATTTTATTTTGATAAATCACACAGTGTTACACAGTAATATTAACTGATGACGTTTCGAGCACAAATTATTGCCACTCATAATCATATCAAGTCACTCACACAACTTTTTACTTCATTTATATATTTGTATGGAATTGACTAGATATTTGAATAAATATCAATATAGGATAATGTACATTCAGAAATAATAATATGAGTGTTGTTGATCAAATACAATTAGATGGGAAATAAGACGAATGTTCTTATAGTTATAATAAGTAATTTGTTAGAATGTTGTGATGTGCTTGAATTGAAATAGAATTTTGAGATTATTTATTATCCTCTTTTGATTTGACTGGTGGTAATAATTGAGTTTAGGAGTAGTGTAGTTACAACTGATATACCTATGAACAATAGACTGTGTTCGGAATGTTATCAAGTAAATAATATTATTTCATTGTGACATATACAATGAACAAATAGGCGCAGACTGGATGTGAAGTACATGACTTCTAAGGTACACGACTGTTCTATGTGCTCCTAGATTCATTTGACAGCTATCCAGACCACTGTTAATAAAGCGGAATCGAAACTGTTAATTTGCTTTTTGAAAACTATGTACGTAGACCAATGCGGCATACTTCTACATACGGCTCTCCTTTCAATTTAAGATATTCCTATGTAATAATGTTGCAGTCAATCTCAAAAAAGAATATTGTTTTCAATAATTTATCTTCAGGTTCTTACAATTATAAAATATATTTGTTGTTGTTACAATAATGGTCAGTTATGCGGCGGATGCATTTTTAACGTAGAATAACAGATTAGTTATGGAGTGCCAAAATAAATAGTATTTGTGTGACAAACGTGCTGGGCTGAAATCGATTACAAAATATTGTGAAATGGGAGGCAGTGGTGGTAATTAGTCACGACGTTTGTCACACAAATACAACTATTCATTTTGACACCCCATAACTAATCTATTATTCTACGTTAAAAATGTATCCGCCACATAACTGGCCATTATTGTAACGACAATAAATATTATATCTTACATTTTATAATTGTAAGAACCTGAAGATAAATTATTGAAAACAATATTCTTCGTTCAGATCTTCAACATGTTGCAATTTTGGTAGGAAATATAACGACACACATACCTTATTCATCACTAACTCAGCTGAATGGTCTATAGCATTGGCTAATTCCGGCGCTTGACCAGTATAACTTAAAAACAACCACGTAAACAATGTTATTAAAGCAATGTAGAACGGCATAGTCAGAACATTTGAAATCACTGATAAGCCAATGAACTCAGATATTCCTGTGACAACATGGAAAAGCAGTAAGATGACAACCAAGACGGTTGGAGTACGAAAAGTCTACAAATGAAAAAGAAAAGAAAACAGGCAGTTAATATACTTATTTCCTAAATAATAATAATAGTGTATGATTAACAATAAAATCATGTAACTCAGTCTTGCACAATAGAATTATATATAGACACCTTATTTTCCAATTATTAATGAAATGAATCGTAATCAGAATATTACACAAATCGAGTATGTTATAGAATATGATTACGAATTCAAAACACGGCTGTTAGTCATAGTACGAAAGTCTGATAATGTCATTCTACTTTCCATATTGAATAAGTTTATTTCAAATGTCACAGCGATACAGTATTAATAACTAGATGACGTTTCGAGTATAAATTATTGCTCATAATCATATTCTACTTTCTTTATAATGACGATGAGTTCCTGTTTGACGAAACGAGGATTGAATACACTTAGTTTTGTGTTACATACTAGGAGTTCATCAACGGAAAACCTGGAACTTGGACACAATGAATTTCGGTACGCATTAATCAGTAGTGTTTACATCCAGGAAAAATTTACTGTTTCCTCTGAAAATCGAACTGAAACTTTATTGTTAACTGAGCAACACCATTAGTACAGCCAGTATTAGTATAATTACAGAGTGCATACATATGCGAGCACTATCAAATTCTCCGTTTTTAAAGGTATATACTATAAAAGTTACATCTATTAGGCTATATTTCGATATCTAAATGAGAAGTCTTCATCAATCAGTTAAATCATCATATAATTATATAATTCAACAAGTCATATGATATTTAAAATATGTTATGAATAAGACAGTGCGAATGACAACAGTGTTTTGCTGCAAGTCAACAATTTAAACAGATGGTTCTCCAACCAACAGTTTAATCACACACTAAAAGAGAAAAACCTTACAGCTAATCACATGTGTATTCTTTGAGAGACTTTAATCTAACTAACCTCCTTTTATACCAAATATAGATATGACTTTATAGCTTTCAGAATAAGATCATTGAAAAGAAACATTTACGTGCTGAATTCATGGACAAATAAGTGTACTGTGTTGTATGTTTGAGAAGGGATAGTATATACTCCTTGTTTGCAAGCCACTTACTTATCGGAACAAATTTATAAATACAATAAATGAAACTATTCTTAAAAATGTACAAAGACATTAACATACTTGAAATATGTTCTTTTTAGAATTCGCTAAGCGGAAGTCTTCTCCCATTTGCGTTATTGTTTCCTTTAAGCGATGCAAATACTCTTCAGAAAATGCTTTACCACCCATTTTAGGGATACTATTGAACTTCTCAATACAATTATTATATATTTTCAAATGCAACGCTTCTAGTTCATTTGGGTTGATGTACGGTCGGTCTGGTCCACATATCTAAAGTTTAGAAAGAAAAGTGGAATCAGGGTTCACAACAGTGTACTAAATGACTTGTTATGAAATAAATATATGGCACAGCTTTAGGGAATTACTTAAGAACAGTGAAAATAAGCATCGTGTTGGTTAGGGCTCATCAGTGCATACTTCAGAACTCAAATAACCTAACGTGCCACTAGAAATGCTGTCTCATATTACATCATTCAAGTAAAAGATGGTATTACAAAGTGTTTGAAATAGACTGAATATACAGACACAACTTAATATTTATATTATAATAATAATAATAACAATAATGAAAACAAAACACGTTGTGCAGCGAACAGTTTCTTTTCAACGAATTCATTCACTTAGCTGTACAATCGTAATTGCATATACTTGCTGTTGTATGGGTCTGTACATTAAGTTTGTCCGATAAGAATAAAAATAAGTTAGGGTCAAGACATTTCAAAAATGTGATGAGTAATCAGATTGTAACTAGGGTCGGGGTGAAGATTGGTAAGAGGGTAGTTGTGATGTGTTGTCAAAAAACATAGTTGTTGATGTTAATCAACACATAAAAGAAGTTGAATAAACGTAATACAGTTGTTGATTAACATCAACAACTATGTGTTTTGACAACACATCACAACTACCCTCTTACCAATCTTCACCCCGACCCTAGTTACAATCTGATTACTCATCACATTTTTGAAATGTCTTGACCCTAACTTATTTTTATTCTTATCGGACAAACTTAATGCAAGCAATTAAAGAACAGGCTCTGAACAGTTGCCTGTTCTTTAATTGCTTATAATTCTTGTATTCATTTAGAACTCTTACGTAATTTCGTATTATCTACTTTGTTCCTGAGTAAAACTCACTCATCAAACTATTCATATTATTACATAACTTCTTTTAACAACTGTTTGTGACAACTCATCACCTTTGTTACTACCCTAATTTCACTAACACCTAATTTTCTTGACTGATTTTGTATTACGTAACTCCAATTACCAATCTTCACCTGTTTACTTCGGTTGTGTGAACAGACAGGTAACTGAAGAATGGTGAATAAACGCTAATAGTTTTTCTTCCATAAATCAACTAGTGCAAAGTACTGTTTCAAGTGAATTATTTATTGTATGTTCCCTTTATTAATTTGATGTCACACGGAAAGCTAATTACCATAATACTTCTACCCCGTATGGGAATTCTTAAAATATAACTCATGTTATAATCCTTGAGAATAATTAACTTTGTGCATGTAGTCAACGGAATATACTAATACTACAAGCCAATTAAAAGTGAAGGAGTTCACCGGTAACATTCAAAAGATGTTGGATTAAATAATCAATGAAACCCCTATTATCGAATTAGAAAAGACTCGTTTTTAAGGCATATCATTTGTACTATACATAGGACAAAAAAGGTTTGATTTGTTTACCTTGTTCATCGCCTCTGTGTACATTTCTTGACAAGCTAATATTGCATTTAAATTATTTGCTTCTGCAGTCGCCTCCAACATTGAACGTGGTTCTGGAAGAGTATCACTCTCGTAAATCTTTATGTATGCTTTGAAATAAGTAAATAATTCACGGCACGTAACTTCCTGGCCATTTATCTTTTTGACAACTAAATTGACTGGGGCTAAGAGATCAGGGACCAGAACTATGAGATTTTCAACGAAACCGGGATCAATGTCTTTCACTCGCCCGTCAAACTTCGGATTAGTTGAAACTTTAAGACCAGGATGAGGCATTAGAAAACAATCCACCTGAGAGAAACACGATCGAATATGCCGACGAACAGTTTGGTGCTCTGTGTGGTGTTGTTGAACAATCTGAGGAAATAAAATGTGATTGTAAAAAAAGAAAATTAAACGTTTGCAAATCATTGTCAATTTTCAAACCCTAATTTCTCGGTGCGATTTGTTTAACTGGACAGTGTAGTTATCGGGAGAGTAGAATAAATTTGAAAAAAGCAACACATTACACCCCATGACGCAATGACTAGTGATACAACCTGGATTTGTGATGACTTAGCGAAACATTTAAATTGCTTTCGTAAAGTTCCAACAAGTGTTTATTCCGATAACTATAAATCTTAAGACATAGATCAAATGACATACAGAATGTCAAAACACCGCTTAATGGATCATACGGACATCCTACATGGTGTAATTCAATCAAAAACTAAAATGCAATGCAGAAAAACATACAGGAGAACCGAAACCATTTTTCAAAATCAGATAGTTGGTTTCCAGAGAAACGGAAAACGAAACAGGCAGAGGCTGATATACACGAGGTTCATCCATGTACCATGACAAAGTTTACATCTGAGGGAGAAATTATTCCCATGCTTTTAATAATATGGAAGTGACTACACGATCTTAAATTAAAAATGAGAGTCTTCAAGTATTGGTTTTGTAGGGATTTTGTTCGATTGGTTAGAGGATTTCATCATCAACTGATGTCAGCTCATGATGAAATCCTCCAATCAATGAAAAATAAGGGTATTCCTTACATATAAAATAGAGACCAAAATAAAGTCATGGCTCACTGAACATCTTCACTGGGATATATGTGAAGTCCCTATCTTATTAATGTGAATGCATCATAGTCTATGCAATGTTTCAGGAATAGATGCGCTAGCATTTATTACACAAGGTAAATAGCAGGGAGTGTCAGAAAGAGGTCATGCTACAATTAACAAAAATCCTTTTATGTAAGAGCAACAAAGAGAAGCTTCAACATAATAACAACACACTTAAAATCAACAATACGAAATACCACATATTCAAAATCACCTTGAGACGGTTATTGAGCAACTGATTACCACCATCTTTTCCAAAATTATATTCGTAAGGATAACTCCAGTCACGAACAAGAAACAACAGATGCTAAATAGGAAACAAATGTGAATTAGTATATGTAATTATTATATTGAACGTTAAAAAGTAGCTCTGTCTGGTTGCCAAAAATGAAATGCACCTACCTTTGTCTTGTGAAGATAGCCACGATAAACTTTCAGTTAATTTCAAGGAAGTCCCTGTTTAAAGGTTTCTTTGATACTACATTTCCATACATATATCGCTATAAACACTGCGACAACCATTATACTCTAAATGAATACCGAAGATACATTTTATAGATCAATTTTTGCTAACAGGTTCATTATTCACCTCATCCACCCTACGTTACTTTTCGACAGAGAAAACAATAATTAACCAAATAATAGAATCAAGACAGTTGAAGCTTTAATAACTGCAACTGTAAATAGGAAAAACAATTTATTTCTACGCGTTCATCTAATTACAACAGATCTACGTTAGTCAACACCATCTCAAGTATTGCTCACCAATTGTCGTTATATTTCTTGAGATTGGGCCTATCTTTGATGCATCGGAAAACCTTGAACTCTGAAATTCTGTGGTAGATAAAGGAGTATCTCAGGAGTTTATCAACATTCTCAATGCCCCATGCGAAATTACCTCAGGTAAACTAAAATCATACGACCACCTATCACCACTGTTCCCAGACAGCAATGGCGTTAGACACGCTTGTCCAATTTCGCCAATTCTCTTCAACGTCGTCTTCAATGACATTCTAAGTACAACTATGAAGGATCAGTGTGACAGTAGTGTGGATCTGCTGACTGAAGAAAGGCCTTGCAACCTTGAATAGGGGGGGTGACATTAGTTCACTGTGTGATAATGCATAGACTACCCAAATATCACCTTGTTGGCTGATAATCAGTATCCATAGGTATGGTTTTTCTATTCCTTCACGTTCCCAGTGGAACATAGGGCTTCAAGCTAGAAGCTTGAAGTTTCTGTAGCAGTATTTATTTTTACAGGATGGGGTTGCTAGCCTCATGCCCAACCTTTCCTCTTCACCAGCTTTTAGTTCTGGCTTAGCGAGGTAAAGGAGTGTGTCGGCCGGGGATCGAACCCCGGACCATGTGCATGGTCAGCGAGCGTCCTAACCGCTATGCCACTGACGCACCTATAGGTATGGTATGTGTAAGTTACTACTACAAGATTCGTAGGAGACCGTCCTCGCACCCACATTCACATGCCAACCATTAGAAGTATTCGAGAAGTTTATGTATCCAGGTAGTTTTCAGCACCGATTTTGTGATGGGTGAAATTTGCAATATGTAGCGAAAATCAGGTGACATATGTCAACACGAGCAACCTCAAGCGCCAGTGACATTAATCCGACCAACAGACATCTGATTTATGAAGAACATTCTTATTAAAAAGTCAGGGATACTTCGCATTCATTTATCGTTGTCTCCGTATAAATTTTGCATCCAGCGATGTTGTCACGCAAATAATTCTGTTATCCAGTGGCACTAGTTTGAAGAGGGAAGAGATCATCGCTCCACAAGTGACTTTATTTTAGGGAGCTGGCTTTGCTAGTCTAGGTGTGTGCTACGAATATCCGGCCAATGACTTCCACACTGTTCACTCTGTCGGCTTCGGGACAAAGGAAAAGAAAGGCTTAGATAGCTTATGACGCCACACCACGGGATAAAGAGAACAGGTGTTGGGTCAACACGACCCACTGGGTGAAGTCTGAGAGATCATGAGACTAACTGTTACCAGACGGATATTGCTCGGAGTCGAAATCAAAGCTAACATGTTACTAATTCCTTACTTCTTCTTTTTGAAAGTAATATCAAGCTATTAACAGTCATTCGAAAGCATCCTTTACTATTTTTACTCCTTAGCTAAAGTTTTATTTCTTCTGATAACGCTTTACTTTGTGTGCCGCATCTGATTGATTAAATGAGTTCTAAAATAGACCTTTTCACAGAAGTGCAGCAGCTTGAATTGCCATATTCCATGCAACACACAGTAGAGAGAATACAAAAACAAGAGATCCAAAAGAACTATAATCAGCACTAAATGTAAGGCAGAAAAAACAGTCAAACCATCGTTGTTGGTTTGTCCACATAGAACTCAGTAAGCGCTGCCAATACACTTCCCTGAATGACACAACTGTTTGAGCATTGAAGTCGCTCACCAAAACAACGCGTGTCGTCTCAAAAATAAGTAAAAAGTTAGTTTCTGGCATGGAGCAACATGGACAGATCATATTTTTCATTAGAAAGAAAGATACCAAATACACAAACGAAGCGAGCAAAATGCAATGAGAAGCACGACGGAAATAAAACGAATGTGTGCGATTACAAGACACACAAAATAGATGTAGAACTCTGGGGTAAACACTCTACACTTACCACCATTCCATTGTTTGTCCACTGAATACTGAGGTCCTTGATTTCCAATAAGACTAAGGTCGACTGCTATTGCGAACTAAGTTAAACTAAATTGTGATTACTCCAGAAGGAAAATAAAACTACTAGGACCAAACACGGGAATTTCACTCTATTGGCTACAGCACAACTGAGTTTAATCAGTTCGAATAGATCACTTGGACCACCAGCTTTAAATGCTTCTGCTTAGAGGTCATTATTACTTGTTGGTCAGAAATTTCTTAACTGGTGGCTGTCGAGGATTTCACTACACTGAACACATGAAGGTAGCACAATACTGGCTGAACTAATTGTCAGTATTTGGATCGTGTTTAAAAGATGACTTCGTTGGGGAATCACAATCGAATGTCAGTTGATTTTTTCACTGAGATATATTAAATAAGTCTAAACATGACGTATATATGTACTAAGCTCATGCAAAAGACGTGAGCAAAGGTCAAATAAGGCTATATTTGCAGCCAGCAGGAACTCTACACTATTGGTAGCATATATATATATATATATATATATAATATATATATACCTAAAACTCTGGTTTTTGTGGAATATCTTGTCAAAATGTTGCAGAAAACTATTACAATTATTTGACTTTGAAACACTGAGTCTTTGGATATAATATTGTACATCAATATCAATACCAACAACGGAGACAGAGCTACCAGTGAACACCAACCCCCCGACGAAATCAGAAGTCCTGAAGGCAATCAAGATGCTACAAGCTGGAGAAGCAGCAGGACCAGGTGGAATCCCAGCAGAAGCATCGAAAACGGACCTAGAGACGACAGCGGACTTGATGACGCCACTACTGGAGGAGGTGTGGAAAGAAGGCAAAGTAACCGAGGATTGGAAGAAAGGATACTTATTCAAACTACCAAAGAAAGGAGACCTAAGTCAATGCAAGAACTGGCGCGGAATTATGCTCCTGTCCATCCCAAGCAAAATACTAAGCCGCATCATCCTGCAGAGAATCAAACATGCCCACCTGGATGAAAAACTTCGACCGGAACAGGCTGAATTCAGGAGAAACAAATCATGCATAGATCAGATCGCCACATTACGGATCATCATTGAACAAAGCCTGGAATGGCAGTCACCTCTCTATCTCAACTTCATCGAGAGGTGATTTGGAAACTACTTCGCTACTATGGGTTGCCACCGACAATTATACATCTCATCCAACAGCTGTACGACAATGCTGCATGCCAAGTAATCCACAACGGGAAACTTACGGAACCCTTCGAAGTGAGGACAGGAGTAAGACAAGGCTGCCTACTATCGCCAATGATTTTCTTGATTGCAGTAGACTGGATAATGCCACAAACAGCGGGCAATGAGGAAACAGGCATAAAATGGACCCACACAAAACATTTGGAGGATCTGGACTTCGCCGATGATATATGTCTGATTTCCCACAAACTGGAGGACATGCAAGTGAAAAGCAACAAGTTGGCAGAAGAAGCATCAAAGATAGGACTTTAGGTGAACATAGAGAAAACAGAGGTGATGGAAATTCCTGGGCAACACCACCAACAGCAACAACAACAACTGACAACAATCAGCATAAATGGGAGGAAACTGAAAGAAACAACCTCCTTTACCTACACACCCACCTGGGAAGCATCGTTTCAACTACAGGCTAACGGAACTGACGAGGATATCAAAGCAAGAATCGGAAAAGCAAGACAAGCTTTCAATACTCTCAAGTCTGTGTGGAGGAGATGAACAACACTCAGCATCAGAAATAAGATCCGGATTTTCAACTCCAATGTGAAGTCAGTGCTACTATACGAATCAGAGACTTGCACTGCGCGTCATAAAGAGCATCTCAAACAAACTACAAACCTTCATTAACAGTTGTCTTCGCTCAATACTCAAGATCAGATGGTCAGCCAGAAAAGATCAGCAACAGGGAGGGGTCTCTGGGAGCGAACCAACCAGGAACCGATTGTGAAACATTTAGGCAGGAAGAAATGGAGATGGATTGGCCATACTCTGAGGAAACCATCAAGTGACATCACTAGACAAGCCATTGCTCGAGTGGAACCCGAAAGGGAAGCGGCGAGTTGGTCGTCAGTGCAAGGGTGACTTGGAGGAGGTCATGTGAAGAGGAGATGAAAACGTGTGGGCAGACATGGAGCCAGGTGAAGACTCTAGCAGAGAACAGAACGCAATGGAGACGCACGGCTGAAGCCCTATGTTCCTGTAGGAATTAAAAGATACAATAATAACAATAATAATAAATATATATAATACTGATCAAATGTTTATATACGTAATTTACAGAAGCTAATTTCCCTGTAGTGTTGACTGCAAAATCAGTTAAAAACAAATTGCTCACCTGAAATGGAGACCCAGAAACTTCTGACTCTAATGCTAACCGACCATATTCAGTGAACAGATGAAGATGTTGGAGGTGATCTTCTTGGATATTACCATGTATATTGTAAACTTGGATACTGCTCAACATTGTACTCAGAGCGAAAACTGTGGCACAATGACGCATAGTACTAGTGCTATCAAAAGAACCCTAATAATCGATAGAGATAAAGTTCAGTTTACATACTTGTGTATCCATTAATAAAACGACAACCTCTTCCCCTGAAGGTAGGGTCATAACAAAAGGTTCACTCCAAAGTAGGATACCGACAGTATCTCGTTCAGAACCACCCCTCCAAGGAAACCCTTTTAAGGGTTTATCCGGATCTCCTAGCCAGTTTGTGCGATCTTCACACAACAGGTAACGAAGGAAGAAATCTAACAGAAACGATTTCCCTTGTCGGAAGGCTCCCGCAACTGACAAAACTACGACTTTTTTGTCACGCACACCTGGTTTCAAAAGAATAGCCGATAACGCCTCTTCATTTAAGCTGAACGAAGTTTTTTTGTTGCACTCCTCTACATTGACTACTTGCACGGCGTGCGCTCCCGCGTCACCCATCGTCCGCTGTTTGTAACACCGATGATATAAAGGCCACGTTCTGCAGACAGGTTCAAAGTTCAATAGATTTAAAAATCAGATTTACTGGTTCAGGGTAGAAGGCTTCCAGCCTTTCTAGCTTCAATCCTTTTCTAGCAAATTTCTTTGCATTTCCAACCTTTTTTGAATGGATAAGCTGAAGTTGCAGACGGCATTTCTTCTGGGAGTCGGTTCCAAGAGTTTATGACTCTATGTGAGAACCGGCACTCCAAAACAGTATGGTTTATTCTTAGCTTTCGAAATCTCTCGCTATGTTCTCTAACGTTTTCCAAACTGGTGGGAAGGAAAAGGGGGAATAGGTCAGGTCCGTAGTCATAATTCAAAATTTTAAACATTGTAATCAAATCTCCTCTCTGCCTAGAGTATGACAGGGAGAAGAGATTTAAACTGTCTGGTCTTTCCTCGTATGGTAAGTTAGTCACACCGATAACCATACGTATTGCCCTCCTTTGAACCCTTTCTAGAATATGTGAGTCCTCTCGAAGACAAGAACTGGCTGCCTGGATACAGTCTTCCAGCCTTGACATCACCAGAGATGTATATAAGGAGGTGGACATATGTCTGATGATTCTAGTAAAGACTGTGCGAATTGCCCATAAGTATCTGAAACTATGTGTAGCCACCACGCTACAGTGCGCTGCAGTGTTTAAATCGTGACTTACTATACCACCTAAATCCAAATTAGTCTGAACTGATGGGAGTGTTATTCCCTCTAGTTCGTAGGAGCTGATGGTTGCGTGTACGATGCGCATGGTTGCACATTTTGCCACACTTCTCGGGGCATCCATCCTCTACACCACTCTGAAAACTTTTTGAAGTCCTTCTGCAACGTGGGTGTATCACTGTGGCCCTTCAGGTGTCTCCAGATTTTCAAGTCATCTGCGTATAGGACCATAGGGGAATCGGTAAGCACAGATGACCCTTTGATAAATGTACATCTGTAGCACAGTGGTTAGGACTCTCACCGGCCATGCACATGGTCCGAGGTTCGATCCCCTGCCAACGCACACCTGATATCAATCGGTCGGCCTGCAAAATTTGGGCTACTGCTATCACATGCTGAAAACTCCATACTTGTACCAAAACTACGGTGTGGAATCAAGCTGTAATCAAAAAACAAATAAATAAATAGGAGAGGTGCGAGTACCATGCCTTATGGTGCTCCGCTACGCACTGTAGTCCAGGAGGGGAGTTAGGAGTTGATCCCAACCCTCTGCCCTCAATCTATAGGGAATTCCCCAATCCAGTTCAGTAAGCTGCCTTTGACACAAGGCTTTCCACTTTCCGCTATCGTCTTAATTGGTAGTGTTAAACTAGATCGATTTCTCTGTGCTTGCTTCTTCGTTGTAAGATAGATGTTTCTGATCTCCGGCCTGGTTGACTTCATGGGGAGCAGTGCGAGAAGTGGGCACTTTGTTAAGACCGTGTCCTTTGTTTCCCTCTGCGGATCGGAAACAAGCCCGTGACTTAAATAATTTTTCTCAATATTAACGTGAAAGTCCAAGTGAATTTTCGGGTTACTGAGAAGAGTGCAGATGTTCTCGGCTATACTGCTTAATGTAATTTTATGAGACAAATCCTGGGACCTAAATGTTTGAATGTATAATGTAGGACATTTAGACCTGAAATATAGTTTTTAAGAATCGCTTTTCTTGTTCAGGGAGAAAATTGCCTGTTTATGTGGCGGTTGCAAGGACTGCTGTGGAACTGATATGTTGTCTGAGCGTATGAAGCATCTTAAAGGTCTCAGTATGCTTAAATGGCTCCATATCAGGGAGATTTTTTAATGGAGCTTTAAGCGAAACCTACACATTAAATTATAGTGCGTGTAGAATGGTACATATCGACGAAAAAATTGTTAATCAGTAAACAAATAACTTAAATCAGGTAATTATCAAATTAATAGCCTCTGGGTCTCTTAATTATCACTGGGCTGGACGGTCTCCACTCAGATAGAAAGATGTCAGTTTATACAGTTGCTTATCAGAACGTCGCATATAAAATGACATATTATTCTTTCAAATCGAGAAGGTTCATTGATTTCACATAATCAAGTGTATATTGTCACAAGACTTTTCATGACCATTGTAATATAATAATAATAATTTGCTTTATTCCATAAACAGTACGTGTGATACAGAATGGAATTCTCAGCATTTTTACTACAGTATTGCATCCAGTTAGTACATTATCAATATATGGAATTCTACATAGATTAAGGAAATCTCAGTTCATTATTACAACAACACATTGGCATGTCGGTAGCAAAGCCAAAGCTGAAACAGTGTTTTAAGGTGTTAGAAAAATAGGAGCTGTCATATTTACTGGCGTAAGCGAGAGGAAGAAACAAAGCAGCACAAAACGAAAAAAGGGAGAGAGAATAGGAAAAGAAAGAAAGAAAATGTTGTACCTATAAATGATATGAGTTGGAAAGACGAGGTCCAGTTGTACTACTGACTATTTAACGAATTATAGGTGTCACGCCTAATGCTTTCTTTGTCGCACAGAACACGAGCTAAGTAGGGTATGGTTGAGTTTTCGTACTTGCTGGTGCGAGCATATAGTTTTCTATATAGGCTTGTGGTTTTGCCTGATGAGATGCAAGGGGATTACCTCCATCTATTTTTGAATTTCCTAGTCTCACTTCGATCAAAAGGCGAATTCTGATAAAATTTCATCGGCGAAAAGCAGTTATTTACAAGAGACATTTCATGGGCTCAAGGGCTTGGTTTTTTGAGGGATTATTGGCCTTGGGACTATTGGAATTCAACAAGTGATGTCTGTTTCCAAAAACTTAAATGGCTTCAGAACATTCACTGATGAATAGTTCTCTTTACAAACGGCAGCAAGATGAAGTGGTAAAATAGATAAAAGTGTTTACCTTTGCCACAACTACTTCAGTGCTCATCGCATGAATTTAATGTAAATACTGGTTTCTTCTAGGTATTTAGCGGTTTGGCCTAAAGGTTTTAATCATCAAACGAACACAGATCACCGCAGAAAATCTAGGATAGTTCTCACTGTGACACCAAAACACAAAATTCAACGAAAATAGTGTTTTTATTGTCACTGAAATATTTTCCTAGACAATAAATTTCACGACAGTCATGTGAGTACGGTGATATTTCTTCGAACACGAAGAACATAAAGCGTCATCACCGATATGATTATCAGGAACAAATTGTGCTCGAAAACTCATCCATGTACCAATACTTCATCATTGTGAGTTATATCAAATAAACTTATGTAATATGGAATAAATTACATGGCTTTTAATGCCATGGTGATCGCCGATCGAGGGAGAACACACGACGTAAGACAATATATAATGACAACCCTATCGAGTGGCAGATAATGACCATAATATAGTAATGATGATTTGCCTGATCCAAAAGAAAAACAAAATCAATCGACACACCAGATTTCGATTCCATAACAATGAGGGTCAAGTATCCGTTAGGAATTTATTACGATCCATGTGGATAACTGATATGATCTCATTTACAGTTGATGTTGCGGGGATCGAAGAAGTCCGTCAACTCAATTGAACCTCATCCATTTAACCATCCTAGATCAATTTATTTGTTTGTGCGAAGTGAAACACATGGTGGTCAAAGTAATTTTCAAGGGAAACGAGGGAGAGAGTGCAGCACCTTGGGGGGGGGGGACGCCGGCTTCAGTGAGTACAGCAGGGGATGATTTACCTTTGTATACGGTGTACTGCTTTCTGTTAGAGAGGTATAACTGCAGCCAGTTAGTGACCCAGGACTCAGTTTTTGTCAAAGAGAGCTTATTTAGCAGGAGACATCTAGGTACAGAGTCGAAAGCAGAAGTGAAGTCGAGAAACGTGCAGCGGACGTATTTGGCACCTTCATCTAATGATGAGACGATGTTGTTGTGTAAGACGGCTGCAGCGTCTAAAGTGCTCCTACCCTGTCTATAGGCAAATTGTTTGGGGTCTTCAAAGTTTTTAAGGGAGGGTTCAAGCTTAAGAAGTGTTAGTATTTCCATAAGCTTTAGAAACGGGGAAGTGATAATAATAATAATATCAATCACTTTATTCCACAACAATAACAATTTACAGGATGGAATTTTCAGCGTTTCATTTTACATATTGCATTGGTTTAGCTCTTTTTATAATTATATGAATGTATGAAATGTTAAAAATATTGATAATTAATAGGAAAAAAATAAAAACCCCAACAAAATCAAACCATTTCTAGGTCACAGTGAATAATAAATAAATAATATAACAAATCACACATGCAATAATATGCATCATTACATTTTATAGTGTAGTTAATGATTTAAAAGTTGTAAAAGTTCTTTTCTGATATTCGTCTCTTCACACAATACTCGTGCCAAATATGGTACGGTCGAATTTTTATATTTTGTAGTACGAGCATAAATGTTTATGAAATTTCTTCTGGTCTTACCCGAAGAGATACAAGGAAACAAATGTGAATAAAGAGGATGTTCACTATCTGACAAAATAACTTTAGCTAAGTGTTTACAAGAAATCATGTGCCTATTGACAACAGTGTCAGTTAGTTGAGTCAAAGGGATAGCACTGACCCTACTTAAAGCTCTCAATGATGGCAATGCATTTGAACTTCACGTTCCTGCCGTTTCCAGGCATAGGGACAGGGATTATTTAAATGTATTTCCATGCATCAGGTACGAGATATTTGGACAAAGAAGCAGTTAGAATAGTAGTAAGTGGAGAACACAGAGCATCTGCACATTGTCATAGAACATATGCAGGAAAACCAAAAGAGCTAAGGTTAAGTGGGGCCTTGAGCGATTCAAGACATTTTAGAACGGATGTGAACGGTCGAACGAAGATATTAATCATCAAAATCTGTCATTTTTAACATCTTTTACTCTCAGTGTCCATGCCTCACGGACGTGAATTATCAGAGAAGAAAATGGTGCGTCGTACACACGTCTCTCCACACGAGACATGATACTTCGATCGTGTCAAAGATGACGCGGGTTGGCGAGTAGCAAATCAGCCTGTTGTATCCCCGTTGAGATCCCGTCAACCAGAAAATCACTACGGTTGATCTGAACTCTCAGCCATGCAGGACAATCGACACATAGAACAGATGATTGAGATGCTTTCCCGTCGGGTAGTATGTTGAACACTGTTTGACAAAATCAGTTGTCTACACATCTGCTCGTCAACAGTTGGCAAGACTTTCAGCAATAGACTCTGGTGGATATTAATAAAAATCTCAGATATCTGTGTGTCAGGAATTGAACACTCGCCTACCTCGGAGAGATTTCGACACAACAATAGCTGTTGCAAGGTATTCGTCAGGCCATTTTTAACTCACTCCATGGTATATCGTGGAGAAGCATCGTTCTCACTGAATTCACGAGTTTCTATAGATTACTGGCAGGACAACACTAACCAAATGGCGAGTAGTAGAATCCGCATTAAGTGCCTCCGTCGACGAGGCTCACTAGCTTAAGGAGTAGGGATGACAGGGCGGGGAGTCATCTGCTAGCCTGAATTCACTGGAACATCGACAGTACAGCTAAACATCACAGCCTTGCAGAACACTGTCCATAAATAAAGTCTGTTGGCTGTGAGATTGAGGCAGACAAATTTGAGACTGGGCGTGATGAAAAACAATCTGTCAGCACTGTGAACAGATGATCATTAGGCACCTTGTCAAAACAGTCGGTATCGAAGACTGCAAGGAACGGCCTCTTCTCAATGTGCTTACACTGGTTAACCACGATGAATGTAGGCGTTATGTACCAGAAGTGTTATCGTGTTAGTCAGTATTAGACGCTTTCAGGTAATTGCCGAAGTTTGTGACTCGAATGACATCCAGTATGACAAGGAAGTATTGAACTGAGACCACCTGATTCAGTGAAAGCGAACTGTGAGAACAACTGTCACTGAAATCAGAACCAACTTCCTTGAATGCCTCCAATAGACAGAATCCCGCAATTAACAACTACGAAGACACAGGGATGTGTGTCACCAACACGCTCACTTTACTCCGTCAACACCTAAGAAGTCGCTGAGTTCACATTGCATTTCAATAGGGCCGTTGACAATTCCAAACCATACAATCACCCGATTATCTGGAGTGAAAATTCTAATCACATAAGTCTTCTCTAACCTCTCAATCAAGTGGTATCGTGTGATTAGGTTTGAGGCTTTAGGTGATCAAATCACTCAACTTACAACCTACTTGCAGATAGTACGAATGAAATTTGCTCACATCTACGAGATTGTATGTTGTGACTGTCTCAGGAGAGTGAAGTGAATCCAGTGCAGTGCAGCACTAACATATCAACTGCAGTCTCTTACTTGCCTACAATAAGATGAAGATTTGTTGCCACCAAGTCACTTTTACCTAATACTAAATCAGTATTGTCTATGACACAATATTACTGACTATCATGAAACCAGTTAGAATGCTTCCGAGAAGATGCGGTAAATAGCCTCCACAGTAATCAGGCTAACAGAACACACCACTCGTAGAAACTTCATAGTCAAGTTACTAAGTGATACTTACTAACTCTTATCATTTCGATTCTCATAGCTTATACTTTTCGCTAGAAAACTAATGAATACAAACTTTACATTGAGATAAAGTGATATTTAGAACTGTTTCACTACTTCAACGAATGGACATTAGTTTGAGGGGAACACAGATTGTGGAATCACCATCACCACTCATGAATATTGATTGGTTGCTTCAACTGAGAATTGTAATTGCTTCTGTTAAGTGTAGACTAAAATCCAAGTACCTTGTCAACCTTATTCTACATCGGCCAACATTTCTGACAGAGAAATGCGGTGTCTTCGTGTGCATAACACATTCCCCAGCTACCTTAGCCAATGTAGTTCCAACACGCCAGCGACTAACCTACTCTACTTACCTAAACAATCTATTACTAATCTCAGTCTTATCTAACGTAGGTCTATATCAGATGTGAACGATCGGACGAAGATATTAATCATCAAAATCTGTCATTTTTAACATCTTTTACTCTCAGTGTCCATGCCTCACGGACGTGAATTATCAGAGAAGAAAATGGTGCGTCGTACACACGTCTCTCCACACGAGACATGATACTTCGATCGTGTCAAAGATGACGCGGGTTGGCGAGTAGCAAATCAGCCTGTTGTATCCCCGTTGAGATCCCGTCAACCAGAAAATCACTACGGTTGATCTGAACTCTCAGCCATGCAGGACAATCGACACATAGAACAGATGATTGAGATGCTTTCCCGTCGGGTAGTATGTTGAACACTGTTTGACAAAATCAGTTGTCTACACATCTGCTCGTCAACAGTTGGCAAGACTTTCAGCAATAGACTCTGGTGGATATTAATAAAAATCTCAGATATCTGTGTGTCAATCATATCGAATCTTGTGTGATTTAGAGGAAATGGTTAGATATTAACCTAGTGAAGATTACTATGTGAAACAGGATAAGCTTCTAAAATCTTAGACATATATCTTTATTATATTATTGGTAGCGATCTGAATATTCGGCGTCGGCAGTGGCACATCTCCATTAAGCTCTGTTCTCTACAGTCTCGCTTTACAAACTGGAAGAGGAGGTAGGAAGTTCGTCATTAGGGCTAACAACGGAAACTCCTGGAGAATTTTCAAAGCGCAGAAGACAATATAAAAAGTATTTTTATCAGCAATGTTTATTGATTCAATAGATTTTATCCTACCTCATCGATTATCAATCGATGAAAAGAAGAAATGAGAAACACATCAAAGACAGGAAAGTATAGGTTGCAGAAAAAAATGCACAGTAATAACTTCTTCATGAATAAATGCACTTGTTTAATTTATAAGATATATGTACAATAACCGAGATTGTTCACAATTTCAGACCGACAGTCTTTTGTTGAACTTTAAAAGGTCAAGAGGGAGTTGCAGTACTGAATCATAGTAATGCTTAATACCATTATATAGTACAAAGAAGAATGGAGAATAAAGACCAGAATTCACATTCAGTTAAATAATAAAGTAGCACTATCAAGTTGCAAGAACACTGATAAAAAATATAACTTGATGTAACTACTTTTCGCTAGAAAACTAATGAATACAAACTTTACATTGAGATAAAGTGATATTTAGAACTGTTTCACTACTTCAACGAATGGACATTAGTTTGAGGGGAACACAGATTGTGGAATCACCATCACCACTCATGAATATTGATTGGTTGCTTCAACTGAGAATTGTAATTGCTTCTGTTAAGTGTAGACTAAAATCCAAGTACCTTGTCAACCTTATTCTACATCGGCCAACATTTCTGACAGAGAAATGCGGTGTCTTCGTGTGCATAACACATTCCCCAGCTACCTTAGCCAAGATAACTTCATGTAACTAAATCTTTCAGCTTCTAGTACCATGGTTATTAGGAGGAATCAAATCACCGCCTCCAACTAACTGAGCAATTCCACGTCTACCAACTGCTTGTACTGCAGGAGTGAAGACCTGTAAAACAGAGAAGGAAAAAGTATTAAGGTATATTAGTCAGACCTCAGTTAAGCAAAAGAGATGATTCATTATTCACCACGCTATTAGCCACACCAATTGTATGTGTGGGGAGGGGGGGTTGAAAATGCCTAATACCTTAAGCTGAAGTAGATGGAGAAGGATTCAATCAACTGCTTAAAAGACAAGTGCTGAAGCTGAAGAACCACACCTCTACAGTATTCTGAGTAGTAAATTACTCAATGCAAACTGTATAATAATGAATATTTACTCCACTCAGTAACCACATGCACGTGCGTAGACTCCCATCACACTCTGGTTCGCGCACATTTATGCTTACAATTAAATAAACATAAAAAATTGTTGGCAGCGAAGCAGTTGCGTCCCCAACTAGATCGAAACTCTGAGTCCCTATTTCAGGAGGAAATAGCGAAACGTGTATCTGAAGTCGACAGAAGGACTCCTCCTGAGGTAGCCTGCCACAACATACAGTTAGCTGGAGACACACCTGCAAAACCTGTTAATAGCCTATAACCAAAAGTTAGTAAGAGCCATTGGATCTCTACCGCCTCATCCGGTCTGATTGACGCTAGAAGACTGATTCCGACGAGCTCCGATTATGATAAGGAGAGAAAGCTACTCAAACGCAAACTAACAAGAAGTCTTCGTAACAACCGTGAACAGTGGTGGGCGACAAAAGCGAAAGAGATGGAAAAGGCATCGGCGATTGGTAACCCCCACAACTATCTAGACTTATCAGGGAAACAGGTAGTAAAAGGCAAATGATAAGTGAAACAATCCCTGAGAAAAATGGCACCATAATTAGCCACCAGGATAGACGACTGGAACGCTGGGAAGAACACTTCGAGGAGGAGGTTAATCGGCCCACAGCCACGCTCAACCCCCGCCCTGAATGGGATATAAACACAGGTCTTCCGTAATTCCATTATGGGTAAATTTTGTTTTGATAGTCTCACAGTGTTATACAGTAATGTTTACTGATGACGTTTCGAGCACAATTTATTGCTCATAATCATATCAAGGTAATCACACGACTTCCTAAATTCATTTATATAGTTCCATTGTTTTTCACTTGATTTCATTGGTAGTAATATTTTCCATATTTCGGGTATCAGTGATGAATCATTCTTATTGCATATAATGGGTGTAGACTCGATGAACAAGGATTCAGTAATTAACCTCTCTCCACCTACTTAGATTACTTTTTAGAATTTTAACCCTCTCCCACCCTATTGTGTGGTTGTGTGCTAATGCATGCATTGCAATTGCTGAACTTTTTTCTAAATTACTTATCTTGTCTGGGTCAACCATTCTTACCTTAGCTAAATTCTTATGTTCTGGCAATCTGACTACCCCTGACCTAATAGTTTGACCTATGTAGTGTGTACTTCAATTTGAAGTGAGCTTTTAGATTTCTCCATGACATAGTCATTCTACCAGCTGACAGAGGCAGAACAACAGTAGTCATGGAAAGAGAAGAATACACCAAGAAAGCTGAAAAACTACTCAAAGATGAGGATGTATATCAACAACTCACAACAAATCCCATACAAGCATTAGACAACCGCATCCAACGAACCTTAAACAAGCTCACCGAAACAGATCAGATCACAAAACAAGATCAATGGCGAATGAAATCCAATGGATCAGTCCTACACCGATTCTACGGCAGGCTCAAAATACACAGACCAAACATCCCGTTACGACCAACTGTATCACTCCCAAGAGCCCCAACATATAATTTGTCCAAAAACTATACAAAAAATTGAAACACCTAACGGATTCCCGCAACCACTCGATCAAATCTACTATTCAATTTCTAGAGTCTAGAGAAAATCAGAGGCATTCAAACAGGTGACCAAGAAATTATGATCTCCTTCGACGTCACAGCATTATATACCTCAAGTGGACAGAAACTAGCAAAAGAGACCATGGAGCAATTACTCAACAACGACGAACATTTCCCACAACAGTCAAAAATGCAACACACAAGTTGGATGGAATGCATAAATCTATGCCTAACAACTCCATTATGGATAAGATTTTATTTTGATAAATCACACAGTGTTACACAGTAATATTAACTGATGACGTTTCGAGCACAAATTATTGCCACTCATAATCATATCAAGTCACTCACACAACTTTTTACTTCATTTATATATTTGTATGGAATTGACTAGATATTTGAATAAATATCAATATAGGATAATGTACATTCAGAAATAATAATATGAGTGTTGTTGATCAAATACAATTAGATGGGAAATAAGACGAATGTTCTTATAGTTATAATAAGTAATTTGTTAGAATGTTGTGATGTGCTTGAATTGAAATAGAATTTTGAGATTATTTATTATCCTCTTTTGATTTGACTGGTGGTAATAATTGAGTTTAGGAGTAGTGTAGTTACAACTGATATACCTATGAACAATAGACTGTGTTCGGAATGTTATCAAGTAAATAATATTATTTCATTGTGACATATACAATGAACAAATAGGCGCAGACTGGATGTGAAGTACATGACTTCTAAGGTACACGACTGTTCTATGTGCTCCTAGATTCATTTGACAGCTATCCAGACCACTGTTAATAAAGCGGAATCGAAACTGTTAATTTGCTTTTTGAAAACTATGTACGTAGACCAATGCGGCATACTTCTACATACGGCTCTCCTTTCAATTTAAGATATTCCTATGTAATAATGTTGCAGTCAATCTCAAAAAAGAATATTGTTTTCAATAATTTATCTTCAGGTTCTTACAATTATAAAATATATTTGTTGTTGTTACAATAATGGTCAGTTATGCGGCGGATGCATTTTTAACGTAGAATAACAGATTAGTTATGGAGTGCCAAAATAAATAGTATTTGTGTGACAAACGTGCTGGGCTGAAATCGATTACAAAATATTGTGAAATGGGAGGCAGTGGTGGTAATTAGTCACGACGTTTGTCACACAAATACAACTATTCATTTTGACACCCCATAACTAATCTATTATTCTACGTTAAAAATGTATCCGCCACATAACTGGCCATTATTGTAACGACAATAAATATTATATCTTACATTTTATAATTGTAAGAACCTGAAGATAAATTATTGAAAACAATATTCTTCGTTCAGATCTTCAACATGTTGCAATTTTGGTAGGAAATATAACGACACACATACCTTATTCATCACTAACTCAGCTGAATGGTCTATAGCATTGGCTAATTCCGGCGCTTGACCAGTATAACTTAAAAACAACCACGTAAACAATGTTATTAAAGCAATGTAGAACGGCATAGTCAGAACATTTGAAATCACTGATAAGCCAATGAACTCAGATATTCCTGTGACAACATGGAAAAGCAGTAAGATGACAACCAAGACGGTTGGAGTACGAAAAGTCTACAAATGAAAAAGAAAAGAAAACAGGCAGTTAATATACTTATTTCCTAAATAATAATAATAGTGTATGATTAACAATAAAATCATGTAACTCAGTCTTGCACAATAGAATTATATATAGACACCTTATTTTCCAATTATTAATGAAATGAATCGTAATCAGAATATTACACAAATCGAGTATGTTATAGAATATGATTACGAATTCAAAACACGGCTGTTAGTCATAGTACGAAAGTCTGATAATGTCATTCTACTTTCCATATTGAATAAGTTTATTTCAAATGTCACAGCGATACAGTATTAATAACTAGATGACGTTTCGAGTATAAATTATTGCTCATAATCATATTCTACTTTCTTTATAATGACGGAGTTCCTGTTTGACGAAACGAGGATTGAATACACTTAGTTTTGTGTTACATACTAGGAGTTCATCAACGGAAAACCTGGAACTTGGACACAATGAATTTCGGTACGCATTAATCAGTAGTGTTTACATCCAGGAAAAATTTACTGTTTCCTCTGAAAATCGAACTGAAACTTTATTGTTAACTGAGCAACACCATTAGTACAGCCAGTATTAGTATAATTACAGAGTGCATACATATGCGAGCACTATCAAATTCTCCGTTTTTAAAGGTATATACTATAAAAGTTACATCTATTAGGCTATATTTCGATATCTAAATGAGAAGTCTTCATCAATCAGTTAAATCATCATATAATTATATAATTCAACAAGTCATATGATATTTAAAATATGTTATGAATAAGACAGTGCGAATGACAACAGTGTTTTGCTGCAAGTCAACAATTTAAACAGATGGTTCTCCAACCAACAGTTTAATCACACACTAAAAGAGAAAAACCTTACAGCTAATCACATGTGTATTCTTTGAGAGACTTTAATCTAACTAACCTCCTTTTATACCAAATATAGATATGACTTTATAGCTTTCAGAATAAGATCATTGAAAAGAAACATTTACGTGCTGAATTCATGGACAAATAAGTGTACTGTGTTGTATGTTTGAGAAGGGATAGTATATACTCCTTGTTTGCAAGCCACTTACTTATCGGAACAAATTTATAAATACAATAAATGAAACTATTCTTAAAAATGTACAAAGACATTAACATACTTGAAATATGTTCTTTTTAGAATTCGCTAAGCGGAAGTCTTCTCCCATTTGCGTTATTGTTTCCTTTAAGCGATGCAAATACTCTTCAGAAAATGCTTTACCACCCATTTTAGGGATACTATTGAACTTCTCAATACAATTATTATATATTTTCAAATGCAACGCTTCTAGTTCATTTGGGTTGATGTACGGTCGGTCTGGTCCACATATCTAAAGTTTAGAAAGAAAAGTGGAATCAGGGTTCACAACAGTGTACTAAATGACTTGTTATGAAATAAATATATGGCACAGCTTTAGGGAATTACTTAAGAACAGTGAAAATAAGCATCGTGTTGGTTAGGGCTCATCAGTGCATACTTCAGAACTCAAATAACCTAACGTGCCACTAGAAATGCTGTCTCATATTACATCATTCAAGTAAAAGATGGTATT